GATGGTGTATTGTGTCATCTGACATCTCCAGAGTGTAACAACTTCATACATGACGCACGTATATATAGGAGAGAGATAGAAGAGAGACAGGAGAGAGATACATTAGAGCAATGAAAAGAGAACAGAAAGAGAAGGAAGGAGAATCATCGAAGCGTGCCATCAATATCGGCACAACGGGGCACGATATGTAGCTGATGCATTTCGAAATCATAAAGTTATACAATGTTAAAAGCTCATTTCATTCTCCTATTTGTCTTATTTATTATATAGGCCTTGATAAGGTTAAATCTTTCGTAAAACAAAATCGGAAACGATGGAGCTCAATATCTTTATGATACCTTAAAAGAAAACACAGTACAATTTCATCGTCTCTTATTCATCTCTAACTTCTTTGTACTCTCTCATAGACACTTATCGAATTAGAACTAGAAGAAAATATTGGAAACTATTGTGCAATTGCTAGTGCAGTCATTCAAATACGAAATGACGCAGTGATTTGTTTTTTTACGTTTAGATATTTTATTATAAAATTTAAATTCTTTCGCAGAATCGTTACACAACGGATCTGCTGTCGATGGTAATTGATAACAATGAGACACAATTCCTAGCTGAGGCATTACAAAATAATAATGTAATATGTTTTCATGTAGACAATTAAAACACTACACCTTTCGAGCGATGACATTGGAGATATCGACGCAGAACATTTAGCTTATGCATTGCAAAACAATAAAGTGATATATTTTCAGTTTTTTATTTTATCTGCTCACTTTATTTCTCCAGACGATTACTTCATTGATATTCGGCTTATATTATAAATACAGTCAAGACGAATATGCTGTCACAAAGATTTTGTATTCACGAGATTGAGAATCAGACGAGGTACTTCATCTTCTAATTCATAATAAGGTCTACTTTGTTTCGCATAGAAAGCCAAACAACGATTATCTAGGCTACGTACCTGAGCAAGAAACCGAATCGGAGATAAAGGAACACAATGTCTCACTGATGCGTTGTAAATGAACAAGGTAACATAAGTCTTATAATTACTTTGCTTTGACCAATAACTCATTTACTGAATAGACGCCAACTGTGTTATATCTTGCTAGAAACCAAGTTGGGAATGAAGGTGCAAGATAGATTGCTAAACTATTGCAAAACAACACGGTAGTTTATTAAATTTTCTCGCTAATTCTATACCATTTTTGAATTTTATCATACAGACACTAGTCAAATTGATTCTACAAAATCAGTATGAAGGTTGCAGAATAGAAGACGTTGGAGCATACTATTTGACTGATCCATTAAAACAGAATCGCGTGAAATACTTATGGAACCTTTGCCAATATATATTTATTCGTATAGACATTAACTTTGCTAAATCTTGCCGAAAATAAAATATGAGACACCGGTGCAAAATATTTTGCTGATGTCTTACAAAAAAATTAAGTGATCCTTTCTTCTGCTTACAACCATTTTATTCATATGAGCTTTTGCTGCATTCTATAGACATTGACCATACTAGATCTTGAATCAAATCTCATCCAGGATGATGGTGTGAAATATATTTTCGATGCTCTGAAAAATAATAAAGTGAGATTTTAAAAGTGTTTTGCTCTCGATACTGTTACTATTGATTGAAATAGACACTCAATAGTTTGGAACTGGAAAAATATCTTAGTAACTGCTATGCACTAGTTAGTGCAGCAGTCAAAATACAGAATGATCCGGTAATTGATTTTCCTTGATCCAATACATTCTTCATTATCTTCACCTTTACACAGATAGTCACTTGTATTGATCTTGATAGGAAAAAAATTACCGATGCTCAGGCACAAAATCTTGCAGATATGTTACGCAACAATAAAATGAATGATTTTTTCTTAGTCAATGCACGGAATATAATTATTTAATTTTTGAATAGACAATCACTAGGTTGAACCTCTTGCATAACCAAATAAGAGATGATAGCGTGTGATATTTAGGGACTATATTGCAACATAACATAGTAACTTTTTATCCAGATCATTTAAGTCATAAAGATCATTATGAGCTTCATAGACACCTAAGACATTAGACCTCTCACACAATCAACTCAGCAATGATGGAGCAAGATACCTGTTCGAGGTGTTGAAAGACAATAAAGTAAGATTTTAATGTTTCTTGTCAGTCTGAAACACAAAGGTAACTTTTTTACAGACACTCGAGAATTTAAAACTAATTATATGTTGTAGGCAAATTTGGAATTTGCCTAGGCAAAATCAAGATTCTAATTTTGACCGGTTTCTTTTTTCAGGCAGAATTGGAATTCTAATTCTGCCCGGGCAAAATTAGAATCGGGCTAGAGATAAATTCATACAGTTACATGTTTTAGTAAACGTACAGTAGATGAGAAAAAAAGAGAAAATCGTAATAAATTCTGACATATCGATAAATAGTATAAATATAGAGATACGTGTTACACACAATTTTATAGAAAATGTCTCAATCGGATTCAACAACCGTCGAAGTAGAAAGTGCGGAATCACTTTATTATAAAGAATTAGAAAAACATATTAATTCTTTGAGTGAAAGATTTCGAGCGAAAAGGGTTATAAAACAATGTGTTTATGATGATATTATTAAATGTTTATTATTAGCTAAGGGAAAATCGTCAGATTTGTTTTCTCCAAAATTTATTCATTGGACAATATGGGTGAATAGAGTAAAGCATTTAGGCTTCTAATTGTAAAATGTTCAGAAAAAAAGATTTTGTTGAATAAAATATAGTTATAACACTTAAATTTTGATTATTTTCTTTTTAAGAATTTATCTTTACCCCGATTCTAATTTTACCCGGGCAGAATTAGAATTCCAATTCTGCCTGAAAAAAGAAACCGGTCAAAATTAGAATCTTGATTTTGCCTAGGCAGAATCAGAACTCTAATTTTGACTAGGGAAATTCCGAATTTGCCCGAATTCCAATTTTTCCTACAACATATATATATATATATACTGTTTTAGAATAAGATTTATGAGTTCTAGCATCAGCTACGCTTAGATCAAATATTTAGAAGTTAAGGAATGCGATGCATTATCCAGTATGAATGTCGATACTATGAATACTCGTATACGAATCGAAAGAAAAAATGTAGAAGATATAACCAATGTCAACAAAAGTAATCTCACTTTTTACTTCATGACTGTGACGGTTTTTTTTATCATTCACATAGTGCTAAAATGAAAAGAAAACGACCTTTTCGCCTTTTCATCTGTTGACTAGTGTTTGATCTTCGTGAGAATGTTAATCTGATCCTATACAACAAAGATATGTTTTCGAATATTTTCCACATTGATACCTTTTTGGTATTTCGAGTCTTTGATATTTTTCCTTCTCGATATTTCTACGAAATACCGACATTAAAATGTTATTTCTTCCCATGTGAACCACATACACTCAACACAGGAAAATACAAATATAACAATTACATTTCGAGATTAGCATTATTATAAATAAATTTTCCACATGTCAATTCGACAGTAACTCAATATATTGAGTTAGTGCTCACTTCACGTCTCGATTTAAGACACAATTCCTTTTAAAAAATCGTCTTTTTTTACTTCGATAGCTCTCTCTCTCTCTCTCTCTCTCTCTCTGTCTTGTTATCATTTTAACATACTATTACACGCAACATTAGCATGAGTTATTTAATATTCTTTGTTTCTTAAAGCACCTAACAACCTTTAAAATTCATTAGTGCCATTTGTAATTGTTTTGTATGAGTTAGAAGCACGTTTTCTTCGGCAGAAATCTAAAGTGATGTTTTCACTGCGCATACAACAAACAACGCTATATATTTATCTACGTAATTTGAATTTTTTTCGGTCGGCAGAGCCATTGAAAAATGATGATAATGGATATCGACTTCAAAATGAGCTTCTTGCTACTCGTCTTTTCATTTGCTTGTTGGTCGTATCATTGATGATTCTTCTTATCTATACATCCTAAGTAAAAGTGACACATAAAACCATTGTTAATACACCATCACTGGAACTGTATTCGTCTCTCAATGGAAAATATGCAAAAACACTGGTATTCACTTGCACGAATATAGCCATTGATCAATAAGAATTTATCTTGCTAATTCCTACATTTCATCAACTTTGTGATAGTGACTTCGTTGATCCATGTCAGCCACTAGGTATTGATGATGCGGGACAATTATTTGATTACATATATAATCGAGATTTTCGAATGTGTGGCTATTCTTTATTCAGTGCGATTGCTTTTACTTGCTCTCTGGCTAAAAAGAACTTTGCAGATGCTCTTACTGATTTCAACTCGACTATATACCTGTCAAAACTTTTACTCTCAGAGGATAGATTTATTGCGAAAATGAAAGCCACTATTGATTTGTATACTACCACTCTAGCGTATGCGTTCAGTCACTCATTTGGAATTATGCGCGATACAACACAAGGAAATGGCCTTGTTTGTGGAACTCTGCCAAGTGTCAGCTTTCGTCTTGCCGCTATTAATGATACGAATATCGTTGAACCTGTTGGAACAATTAGGCCTCGCTATAAAACCTATGATAATGATGTATGCTCGTGTCACGATTCAGCCACTTGCAAAGAAGAAGCATATGTTTATACTCCCGATAACACAAAAGTCAGAGTACATAGAGTATCAGGCTTAGTTATTGGGTGTTACGGATTCGAGGCAATGATGCAATCAAGTTTATTGTGTTATTTTTATCAAACATGTATTGATGACCTTCGTGCAGCTATCCATTTCTCAGATAACTTCACTACTTCGGCACTTGATCCTTCAAAGCTACTTTATTTCGACGGGAATAGCACAGTTGAAATGATGGTGGAGAAACTTATGATTGAACAATCGACAAATAATATTTCTTACACCAACTATTATCATCAATGTTATCCAGTTTATTGCTAATATACAATCGTGAAGAAAAACCATGTTATATATATATAGTTACGACATTAATTGCTTTAATCAGCGAACTCACGCGTGCATCTCAAATTATTGTACCTATGCTTGTAAATTTGCTTCGAAAATTTATTCGCAAATGGTGGCAACAGAGGCGTACTGGAGTTATCATGATCTCATGGGTTTTTTTCTCTTGAAAAATATTTTTAATTAAACAGTATAAATTAGAAAACTAAAGTGATTGTTTGATGATGAAACTGAGAATTTAAAAAATCAGTAGAATGATATTTCCAATTAACTCTCATATCCGTTCACTTCTAAGTGGATTGAAAAAACTTTTATTATTCATCGAATATCGACACTAAAAAGTTCGTTGTTGTTATGCTTCGCTTACTCTCATCACAAGAAGACAAGAACGCCGAGCACGATCTATTGAAACGCATATTGTAACCTTCGAGAAAGTGTTTCAACAGACCATGCTCGTTATTCTTGTCTACTTAGGATTACAGGTCAAATAAAAATTGAAATAAAAAATGAACATTACTCTATTCTATCTTGATACATTTTATGTGGCAGGATCGATAATACCAGATATTCTCTTATAAAGTTATGCAATACAGTTGTATCACTTCAGAAGAAAATAAAAAATGCATTGTCTAGATATTAACAGATCTAATCCAGATCAAAATCGGCTATTTTTCACAATGACTATATGCTAATTAGAAATCCTCTGTTGAATATGGACCTATTTACTAGCACAGATGAACGAAAAGTAAGATATGAAGATATCACCAATACTATTTGCGTGGTTACATGAGTGCCCAGCCGCAGAAAACATGGCAGTCTTTAAGAAATTTTGTCATAGCGATGACGCTTTATTTTTGAAAGGATTTGATTCAAAGTCAATAATCAAAGTTTACGTGATGACTAAAGTATAACAAGAAGTGCAACCTAGATTCATTCTTTCATTTATTTTGTTTTGTTTCGTTTCGTTTCACGCTACCAGCAAAATTATCTTTGAGAAAGAGTTAACTCAATGAAAATCAAATAGTCAAAGGAAAAATTCACCGAAACCCAGCAGTTCAATTAACACGAAGAGTATTTCTTTAAAATACTCATGTGCAATGTAGTTCTGATGCATTTTCAAAGTTATTTCCAAGAAAAACTGCAAAACTGTGCTAGGTATAAAGAATGAGTAGCGTTGATACTGAGGATCATATGTAGCTCTTGTATTCATTACTCTGAGAGTTGAAAACTATTTACAAGTACTCAAAATCGTTATGTATTTGTCGATAGTTTCATAAGGTGTTAATGATTCACTTTTTATTAATTTGTAGATGACTGGGATAGAACAATGGAAACTGTACAAGCAACTGAAGCTGTGAAATTATCAGGAAATCGCTTAGTAAGAGAAAAATTCCAAACGCTGCGCTGACTGTTTGCGGAAAAGTAAATTACGAGATATAGATGTTGTCTCATTCTCCCAACGTACTGACATTATGATTTTTGTTATCAAGCTTGACAACCGTAGGTTGAAGCATAACTTTGACAATGTTCGCATTATATGTCGTGGGCAATTTTTCTGGACTCATGGAAATGAGTCAAGATGTTACTAAAAATAGTTTGCAAAGGTACTTTTTTTGTTGTTAGTACGATGACCAAATTCCGGCTGTCCTTTGAACTACCTTTTAGCGAGAATCAGACTGCGATGATATCTTTCAAATTACGTTCTACTTTTGTAGAACGGTACATGCAAGGGGAGGAAAGCGGATCTCGGATCTTCCGCTCCCAATAGATCCCATTGGATCCCACACCCATCCCTCATGAGTAGAGAATAAATAAATTGCAGGGGGCTAAAATATGAGTGCAGTATATATATATATATGTTTGTGAGAGAAAATGGTGGGGTGTGCCATTTCTCTCTACCATCACACATCCATAGCCACACTCTCATTCGACAAAAACATTAATATTCATTGATTTTGATCGTTGAATTTCACTTCTTTGCGCCGTAGCCTGTCTTCTATTGTTTACCGAAAAAAATATATATATGTATATTTGTACAAAAAGAGAAATCAACAAAGTCAATAAAGAAAGAAAAAAAACAAAAATACATTACATATAATGTGTAGTAAATAAACAAATGAACTAATTCTTTTGATCTTGATTGTTCGATTAATCTTACGTTAACCTATTACTTTTTTCTTTTACTTGCAAAATATATATTTCACATGAAAGAACAGTACTGAATCAATATATCAGACTGAAGAGTTAATCATAATGACAATCACAAGAGAATGAACACATAAAAAAAATGAATTTAAAATAATAAATGTTCATAATAGGGAAGAAAATTTTTCATTTTCTAATTCATCCATTTTCGACAATTAAGTGCACCGCACAAACATGGAATTTTAGAATCATCTTCAAAATTAAACTTATAATCATACATTATTTCTTCACCTTTAAGAATACGTCTATTTGTAATTATTACTATTTTATTTTCTTTTTCAACTTGTACAACTTCAGTTATAGCGTTCGGCTATTGTAAAAGAATATTAGAAAAGAAATAAATATTAACAATTCTTTTTCTTCGTTACCTCGCATGAATGATTTATATAACGAGCCAGGCAGCCGCTCATTGTTGCATCAACTACATGGTCATCATCTAATCGAAACATATAAATTCCACGGTTTTGTTGCTCATATAATTTTTCTCGTTTATTAGCAACTTCATTACGAATTAGTTCGCCTATATATTCAATAATCATTGTATGTTTTTCCAGGTCGCGTGCTGCAAATAAGCCTAAACCCTAAAGGAAAAATATTGCTTGCAAGTTTTAAATTATAAATGTGAGGTAATTTCATTGTTTCAAAAAATAGAAAAATTTAGAAGATTCTTGAGAATATCTCTCTGTATGACTTGAATGTTACTTTTTTCATCGAGATAGACCACGACAGATATAGATACATGTTTGTTGCCAAACAAACAAAAATCTTTGATAGCGCTTGCTCCGTACAACGCATGAGAAGATATACAGTAACAGTACATTTGAATTCATGCATTCTATCATATATTATTTACTTTGTAGTTATACTGTACTCGTTCAATAATCTTGTTTTAAGGCTAACTCAAAGTCATGATCAGAAGAGTAGTTTTAATTTTGTACAGCTTAGATAACTTTCTAACTTTTCTTTTAGCATTCTACATCACAGATACACTTTTGCAATCGAACTTCGTTTGATGTTTTCCATATTCTTGTATTCTGAGTCTACTTATACACTTCTAACAAAATCACATTCTATCTACATCGCATACGAAAACAATAGACGACTAGCAGCGAAAATATATTGGAAATTAGTAATAGAATCTAGTTTGTCGACACTCTCGAATGATCTACGAGTTTGATTTTGTTTGTCAACAGAATCCAATATTTCGACTCAACAGTTCGCTTGATAATCTCTATTAAAATCTTAATCTCATATCGCAAAAAATAGTTAAGTAGGAATGCACTTTCGATCTTATAATTCGAAAATTTAACTTTCACACGGTCTAAATATTTACTTACTTGAATTCGTGATTTAGCAAGATAAATGTTTTGACGCCATTCTATTTTCAATTTTCGATACTGAGTTGATTTGGAAATTACGAAGTGTTTACCGTATGAAGTTTGAGTACCTTTTTAGAAAACAAAGCAAAAAGTTAAATTTTACTTGAAGAGTATTGTTTTTTTCTTCTGTTAATTATATACCTTGAACGTCGTATAGACTTCTAGGTAAATTACTTCGAGTTGAATGTGAAGTTGTTAATGCTTGCGCATGTCTAAATATAAAATCTATAATAAACAATTGAAAAATATCAAGTCTATATACCGTTGAAAATGAGTTCGTAGTTTTGGTTCACTTCGTGCGCAACCTGTTGGATTAAGTGTTAATGGCATATCAAATAATTGTAGTCGACCATATTTAAATGCATAGTTTTGTAACATTTCAACACCGGGCAATGATTCAATTAACCGAATAATATGTGGTTCCTAAAATAAATGATTTTTCTCTCGATAAAAACAAATATCTTTTAAATTCATTTTTACCGTTAATCCATATAAATCTTCGCCCTTAACAAATACTGGAAACATTTTAACAAGACCATATTTTTTTCTTAATAAATCGATTTCGTGAATAATTTTGTACCAAACAGCTCTTGCACTAGATTCGACAAATTCTTGTACTGGTTCATTTTCGTTTTCTTGTACACTTATTCGAAACATCGGTTTATTATCAATATCAATTATGGAACATTTATATGCACAGCGATGATTCGGACGATACATTGACCAATAAAACCTTGTTACAGTATAGCCAACCTAAATTTTATTTTTTACACCGAAATATTAATTGCAAATGACAAAAGAAAATAGTTCATACTGGATAAATAAAACTTCGATTATGAAATGTAGATGATTGTAATTGATGTGGTAACAATTGCCCAATATTGTGAAGTATTAAACTACCGATACGTAATATATATGATTTATCGTCATGTTCTTCATTCATATAACTAAAAAGAAAATAATATTCGTTTGAGTATTATCCTTATTTTCCAAGAAGAAAGACCCATGCTCGCGAATATGCGTAAGATTTTATTTATTGAATCAGATAATCATTGTTTCTAACAGAATTAAAGTAGATTCTGGTATTAAGCTATATTATAAGTAAGACCTTCTATTTTTCTCTATCAGCTCTGATATAGAACTGATGAAAAATATTAACAATATAGTGCTCACAATTATTGGATATCATTATTGATAATGTTAAAGCAACTTTCTATCATATCCTACGACAATTTGGTCGATGGTACCCTTTGATCTCGATTTTCAATTAGATACAAAACAAATCAATTATGTTAATCTTATCAAAAAGAAAATTCTATTTCAGAACTAGAAAAAAAGATTTCTACAGTCTATTGTAAAATTTCAGAATATAGATTACACGAGAAAATTATATCAAATGTTGTAGTATTATTCTTCACATTCCTATGCATGCAATCGATAAGCATTTTATATATTGTTTTGATTTAATATATCAACTTCATAAACTTACTTTTGAATTTGTTTTATTTCATCTCTATCAATCCAAATTTTTCGTAAAACAGATTTATCTTCAAGTATTTGATCAGCAGTTACTGTGGGTGAAGCATGTGTTGGACACATAATACTCTTGAAAAAAAGCAAAAAAAAAGCAATAGTCTTATTATGATATTCAATAATAGCTTGGATTGTCTTTCTTACCTTAGTCTTATAGAAAACACAACCATTGTCAGTGGCACATGTAAAATGATATGTATTAGTGCATCGTTGATAAATACATTTTAAACTTCCACCTTTTTGTTTACATATGATACATTCTGTATTTATCGAACGTTTAAATGCTTGATCAACACACATCAATGAACCACTAACTGTTTCATAAACTTCAAACGACCATAATGCACAATTTAAATGACACCATTGACCAATATTTAAATTAAGCAATCTAATAAATAAGAAAAAAATTGATTTAACGAATAGTAATAAAGTTTCTCGATCATTTAAAAGTATTCGAGTTGTACGTAATATGATGCGTGATATCGAAAAAATTACATTGACTGTAAACATTCATCTTATTCACAAACAGCGAATGTTGAAGTATTTGCTCATATAAAGATGCTCGCAATCAATGTCATCTGTATTAATTTTTCCCTTGTTCTCGAAAGTCAATGGGTACACTATTCCTAAGTTCATTTAATTTACAAAAGTGGCATAAAACTCATGTGCTATATCCCATAGCATTTTGTACGTATATAATACTTTCAAATTGTTTCATTAACGAGAAAAATATTTTGAGTCCCAACTAAAAATTATAACGAAATGAATATTTACCTTCCTGGTCCATTGGATGTCATATCACCAGCAACATTACAAAATACACAAATTCGTTTATCTTGTTGTGCATTTAATGCTAACGGTATTTTTATATCTGCGATGAATTGATCGATATCATGTGAACTTGTTGATTGAATAGTAAGTTTTATTGATAAATTTGAGTTCCATCGTTTCCATCGTGTATTATTACTTAACTAGAAAAGTAAATTAGTTTACTTATTTAATAAATAAAATAAAAAATTACTTGAATGAGATTTTCGTCTTCATGTTTTATTGATGAATTTTGAATAGGTAAAGATGGTAATCTATCTACTGGTTCACTTTTAATATTAACAGATACTGCTTGTTGTTGTTGTTGTTGTTGTTGTTGTAATTGTAAATTCGTTAGATATGCATTATAGCATTGCTCATTGCAAAAATTGATAGATGGTTCAGAATTTGGTGCTAATTCACGAAGATATAATGGAAACTCATTTAAACGTTTCTTTAATGAATTTTCAGTTGTTACATTGTTTGAGCAATAACGACATATTTTCTGTTGCATATCAATTAATGATTGAATATTAACATTAGTTTCACGACCAACTCTATATATTGATGCACCATGATTTTGAGATGAAATTTGTGAATGCGATAAGAAATTGCTAGAATTAGGACTATTTATTGTTGATGAACATGTACAATTTTTATCGTCCAACGTTTGTTGAACGTCAAATGTTGATGGATAAGCCATCTTTAGTAAATCAGCCACAGCAGCCATCACACTTTGAACATTGTTAGCTGCTTCAGTTGTTAATGTTAATGTAACAGAGACCTATGTTTAAATAAAGTTTCACTAATAAAGGAATCCAAATTTTCAAACTGAACTATGTATAGCTTCAGATTCTTCTTTGGAGATACGCTTTTAATGTAAGTGTCTCTTTTACATCGATCATACATATCTATACATTCAATGTGCTCATTTCATGATAGAGAAAATGAAAAGATGAAAACGTATCGTTAAAACTTATTTACTTCAACTTTTATACCTATGCAAAGCTGTAGTGTGACATTCGGAGGTCACTTTTCTTGAGAAACATCATGAAGTCTAGTTTAAAAGTCAAAGATCTTTTATCAATCAGCAATGAGATAAACGTCGAGTGAATTAACACACAATCTCAATTTTTATGCATCAAAAAAATGAATATTTATTTTGGGTACGCGTTTGTCGTGAATATACAAGATAATAATAAAATTTAAATTTTGACCCATTTTAAAAATTCTTGGAATAAAAATTATATTTACTTTATCAATGCCTTGGGCAAGTGGTCGATCATTATTTTCAGGCTTATTATCACCGGATGGTTTATCTATGGTTGTTTCATTAGATTGATCAATTTTTGCTGATAAATCATTTTCATGTGATAATAAAATCGGACTTAATAATTGTAAATCTTTATCACAAGGTGAAGATAGAGTTTTAAGTAAATATTTATTTTCTGTTTCAATATCATTTATGTAATTTTCATCATCAGCTAATGTTGATGTTGAGATGATACTTTCATTATGATATAAATCATTTTGTTCTTTAGTTAATTCAAATAGTTGTTCAGATGCATTCTTCATTAACGGTGGAGAAGGTAAAGTAGGTGGCTGATCAACGAAATTTGAACATAGACGAAAATGTCGTTCGAGTGTTGATGATGATTTTGTGGGAGATATTGATCGATATTGACGATTCGGACGATAACAATCATTCATATTTTCAATAAAAATATGACCAAAATCACCTTGATGTTTTGTAGTTTTATCGGAGATTTTGAATGGTAAAGGTAATTCATTAGGATTATCAATTGAAGGTTCGAGAGGAATAAGTGTTGGCAAATTGCGTAATTGCTGCAGTGAGTGTTCAACAAAATTTTCTGTTAATTCAATACCTTTTTCTAAATGAATGGAAATTTTTTCATTTATTTACAAAGAAATTCATTGAAGCTTGACATTAAGCTAAAGCGATAGAGATAGACTTAAAAATATATCAAGTTACTGAACTCTTTATGAATGACATATGATCAGCAAAAGTAATAATTAAATTGATTCTATGTTCTATGCTCGAATGTTCTTAGTAAAAATTGTGATATGCTCTAGGCGTCGTCTTCATGTTTACAATAGAATTAGTTATATTAGTTCGATTTATATTGGAAAAGCATAAATATTATAAGCTAATTATAATCTTATGTTTAGATTTAGAATACCAATAATATAGTATTCTCGTATAAACGAATTTAAACAATTCGGAAGTTTTAAAAACAACGAGTGTCCTTCCTGATAGTATTCCAGCTTGGCCAAGAAGTATGATTCGTTTTCTGCTGGAATCTCACCGATAGAAAAGTCACAATCATCGATTTCATTGTATACAATTTTAGTCTTTATATGTCAATGTTCTGTCATTACTATTTTATAACTATTCGTTTCTCATCCTAGAGAAAATAAAACCATGAACGTACTTTTCCGTTTACGTGATTTTGTTGGAACATCATCTTCGAGTGATACATTCGAATCGTTTGGTTTACGTTTTCTACGTACTTTGGGAACCTTATTTGTTGCCATTATTGGAATATTAATTTGAGAATGATCATTACTAATTAATGCTTTCTTCGGTTCTAATTTCGTTTGAGAATTCTACAAAAAGAAAAAATATAGAAACAAAAAAATTTCATAAAAGAATTCAACATACAATTTGTGAATTCATTTGTAACATAGATTTAAGATTATTATTATCGGATGATAAATTATGAAATTGTTGTGCATTTGCTTGATGAATTATATTAGAATCATACATTTTTGATGATTGTTGTGGCATTATTACTTGTGATGGTAGCTCATAAGTATTTGGATGTATCATGCGAGGTCTCATTAATTGCTGTGTTTGTATCATAGTTGGATAATTTAGAACATTCGGAGATATTCCATTTGATGATCGCACTTGTTGTGTAACTTTTCCCATAAGCGAATTAGAAGAAATATAACTATTATGTAACGCTGGATGGCGTATCGGATATGTTCCAATGATGGTTGGTGTTATCGATGGTTGATTCATATGATGGATATTATTGATTCCTAAATTATTTGATAATGATGTTGGAAGAGGTACAAGCGATGTAGATATTGATGGCGATAATGAAGTTTCTTTTGCTTCTGACTGTCTTGATGTTGGAATATTAATACCAAAATTATGTAATAATTCTTGATTAAAACGCACAGGATATTGATTAGATAAATTTTGTTGTGGTATAATTATATTACGCGATGTTTGCATATTATTCATAGATACAGGTAAATCATTAGATGCTTGATGTGAAGATTGTACAACAGGCATAGTATGCTGTATTGATGGATCATGGATATATTTTATAGTATTCGAAGAATTTTCAAATGGGTTTTGGACAATTATTTTCCTAAAATGAAAAAAAATCAATATTACTATTGAAAATATGAATTTCATTATAGATAGACTTTGAATTGTGATCAATATTTGGTGTATGCATTGTTGGTGCGTGATAAGAATGTGTATTTATTCGTATATATTCGGGAGTTCGATCAACATTAGTTAATGTTGATTCATTCATTATTAACGAAGATCGTTTCTTTCAAACAGTACTGTTCTGCTTTATCTCAATAGAAGGATATTCATCTAAAAATGTAAATACAAGTTGTAGCAATATTTTCGCAAAAATTAAACGAAAACGATTCATATTCATTTATAGAATAATTTCTCTGTGAATGTCATATAAAATTTGATCAATTCATTTTTGAGATTTTTTCATTTAGATAAAAAAAATGCAACAAGCGTCGTAATATTATTCCAATTTGTTTTTGGTACTTTCTGAATAGATTTTCTATGTAGGTTTCATTGAATAAAACAATGATACGAAACAAAACATGCAAAATTTGCTTTCTATTAATCTTTATCTAACTGAATTTTAATGGCATCGAAATCTATATGTTCAAATAATTAAAAATAATAAACATTACTATCTAATTTATCTCATCGGCATGAATATTTAAATACAATTCAATTGTTTAATATGTCATTAAAAAAAGAAACAAGATGCAAAATTTAGATTATCTGGTCTGATCTAGTTCTTTTGTCAAAACTAAGTTCTGACATTAGTGTACAAAAAAAAATAAAACTTACTAGATTTTTTCGTATGCATAATGAAACTAAAATATATTGGACAGATAAAGATCAATTTTTGATCTGTCAATATGAACTAGATGTCGCATTAGGATGGACATTCCGCATTGACTGGCCATTATATTATATGATATTCATACGAAATTTTATTTGCTTCAAATCTCTTGACTGATGAAACATCTGTAGTGAAAATAATCAATAATATTTTATAACCTTATTATAGGACACAGGTACAATTTGTCTTTTCCGATCGTTTTCTATTATCTGTTAGTTATCTTATATGTGTATGATGGCCGGCATTTTCTTTAAATTCATCAATGAATTATTCAGGATAGGAGTTCTTGAAGTGTAATTGTTGGTTAAATTTTTGAGAAAAATAAGTAAACTATTTCTTGTTCTCCTAACTGTACTCGCCTACTGAATATTACATTTTGTGTCATGCACAGCATATTATTTTGGCCTGCAGATAATCAAGTCTTCAAATATACATTAAGCCAATTAATTATTGTTCACCTAAAAATATGCAAGTAAAAAAGCACTTCTATTCTATCGCCATCGTAATAGTACGATTCTGTTCAGTTAATGAATTTATCTAAATCGTCCACGTCTACACTGTACCTATTTCTATGCTACTTATGTTTGAAGGCTTTCCTCACATAAATTACAATATACTATTAGCTAATAAATAAATCATGATGGTTTTCTAATAAGCTAGCATATTCTTCAATAGTCGAGATGCTTGCATTTAATCCTCTACATATACTTCATTCTCATCAAAGTTTTAAATGTATTTTTTTAAAAGCCTGTTGCATTCATTCGGCAAGTGCATGCGTCGTTTGCATCATGAATATTTAATTATTCTTCCGTCATACAAGCAGTTTCTAGAATCTAGGACCCATTTCATTTTTCTTCACTGGTCGTCGTGCGATCTATCGAGAATAATTTATCTCTGAAATCAATTATAAAGTTGTAATAGCTACGTTCAAAGCCATTGATTAGTGATGAGCTCAACTCATAGAGATTATTATCATCGCTACTTAAAACTATGGAATACAAAGGATAATGATTCATATATAGCAAAACTTCTTATATGATCCAGTGAAAAGTTTCGTAAAACACGATAAAATTTCAAACAATAAATATCAAGTTTGGAATGCCGCTAAGACACTCGAAGGAATTAATGACATGTTATAACTGCACCAACTATTCGAATAAGTTAAAGTCACGAAAATCAATGTGAACGTTTCAACTCTAAAGATCAACACTCTCGTTGATGCATTTTAACACTAAAACTAAAACTTAATTCTTAAAATTTTACTCTTGAATATCGATACGTAACATCTATTACTATTTCATATTAACGTTTTTTTCGTTCTTTCTACGTTTTTCTATTTACTCTGAAGTTTCATATGAGACACGACTTTTTGCCATTCTTTATGCGAGCGTGGGCAAGGCAACACAACGAAACAAAGTATGCAAGATTGAATCCGTGTCTATCGCAGTGTTGCCCTCTAACAGAACAATATTCACTTGAATATTAACAACAATAGTTCAATACATTTTTCATTAATTAAACAGTATCAGACAAGAAGATAAATTTAATGGCGAAATATCATGTATTAATAATTCTATTTTCTTCAATGATTATAGTTTTAGATAAGAATCAAAAAACCAATAGTTCCTATGGATTTACAAAAGAATTCTGATTCACGTTTGAAATTAAATAAAACGAACGACAAAGTTAGAGAAATTTTTTATTCGTGCCATTCTCATTTCTATTTTAATTCTATTCTAGAATAATTATCATGATATTTATTGTTTCGAATGTCATCATGTTGGACAGCTTATTATTGGCTGTGATTCATGTCCACGTGTATATCATTCAAAATGTCTCGGTCTGTCTGTACTACCTGAAAAACAATGGATATGTCCAGAATGTGAAGTATGTTCTTAATTTTAATACTTATTGTGTTGCATTAAATAATCAAATCACATATAGTCAACAGAACAATTGATAAAACTAATGAAAATTTTTTGTACCTATAATGAATATTGAAAACATTCAATTAGTTAATTTAAAATATCTTTTAGGTCAATCAAACAACATCATTACAGCGACATTCCATAGATGAACTTAATAGAATGCTCAAATATGCTCTTGATCGATTGAAATCATATCCTCAAGTAAGTGAAACTGCACATTACAAAAAACTGAAACATCAACCGATACTAAACTTCTTTGAAAGGCTAAACATTTTATACAATCAATGGACAAGATACCCGATTATCTTGATTATGCCATTCATCCAATAGATTTAGTGACCATAGAAAAAAATATCAATCTAAAAAAATATTGTTCAACCGATGCATTTATCGGTGACATTAAATGGATTGTACATAATAGTATGATTTATAACGGAAGCAAGTAGCTTGTGTATATCGAAGGCAGTAATGATAAAAGAGTATTGTTTGTATTTAGATCAAAGTAAATTAACTAATATTGCACGTACATTTCTTAAAATAACTCGTCATGAAATGACAGAAATTGAACTTTGTTCGGAATGTTATTTACGTAGTACAGAAGCCGTATCAACAGATTGGTTTACTAAGCCCTGTTCTATTCCACATACATTGTGCTGGGCTAAAATGAAAGGTTATCAACCGTGGCCAGCAAAAGTTTTACGTATTATCAATGTTGAAGTTGATGTTCGTTTTTTCGGACAACATGATCGGTATGCAAAAAAATAATGGAATGCAAATTATGTGTTATATTTTTGCTGCTTTTCTTCTTCTTTCTATAGAGCCCGGATACCACTTCATAATTGTTTTGTTCTATCAAAAGAATATCCAGGCTCGGAAAAGAAAAAGTTTAACAGTAATTTTGAAGCAAGTCTTATTGAATTACAAACTCATATTGATCAATTAAAAAGACTTTATGGACATTTTACGTATGCACCTCTACAAACACCATTAAATAAAACGAAACCATTCAAATTCGTTTCAATTATCGATGGTAGGAATTTAATATTTTCTAAGGATTAAAACGAACAAATTTGAGTTTCTTCGATTTAAAGCTGTTGCAACATAATTTATGCGTATCCTTTCATTATTATAACATCAGAGATTTCGAGTAGCATTCTATTAGCTAGTTGATTACCTTTTTAATTTTGAAATTTTCTTCTTTTCTCAGACTCCATGTTACCGTCTTATATGACAGTTGCACATAGTAATTCTTCATGCCGTTCATCTGATAAGTACTCAAAACACCCACGTTCTTCTGCTGAAAGTTCATCTTCTTCATTAAATCAACAAAATGTTACTAAACGTAATCGTGAAAATTCACAGCAAAGTCAAAAATCGATTAAACGCCAACGAACTTCACCTAAGCACTGTCATCCAAATCTTATTTCAACCGATGATAATGACTTACAATCAACATTAAATGTATTTGATATATTGAATCAATCAAATCCAACATCAAATCTGTCTAAAGCCGATCATGAGTAACTTCTACTAAATCTATTTCAATTTTTTTTCATATCAATATCTTTGTTTTTAGAATAACAGCGGTTCCATTTAAACTAAGATCTATTTCTCCTACGGATAATAAATTAAGAATTCAAGCATTATTAAGAAAATATATTCGTTGTAAATCACCTGCAATCGATAATCTTACATCCGAAGTGAGATTATCAATGAATGAATTGCTCGATTCTATTGAAGCACTTGAGTCCATATCTGATGTTGGCATAAATTTGAACATATTACCTATAGAAAATAAAATGCTAGAACAATCACAGTTGTCTGATAAACATATTAGAACAAAAAAATCTCGAAAATCTAATTTACAACATCGCATTATTCCTAAAAATCCACATTCAAAACTTATCACATGTTTATCATTAGATCAATCCCTTTCTGCGTCATTACCATTTGTTCCATTAAGACCATTATCAGTTAGTCCACCAAAGTATATTCTGTTATTTATCGTTACCTTTGTTTCATGTGTTCTCTTGTTTTTTTTAAATTTTAGTATAAATAGCTTTGAAAGTATTCCATTTCAAATACCTGCTAATATAACAATACAACAATCAGCAAGAACACCATTCATTGAGCTACTCGATATAAAATCAGAACCAATCGATCAAGATGAACATCAACTGCCACAAACATCGATCTCAGCTAGCTCTTTTCTAATATCATCATCATCGCAAAATACAAATGTTTCACTTCCGATTATAATTCCTATTGTTCCACACACGTCTCAAATACCAACAACAGTCTCGTCGGAGCGTATTTCTTCACCAGCATTATCCATCTATTCTTCTGCAAGTCAGCCAAAGAATACAACCAATAGACGATTAGAATCATCAATAAAAAAACAATCAAATAGCATGCGACAGTCTCGTCATGTTTTCAATACGATTCCAATATCAAATTACGATTCTATAACAGTAAATAATTTTTTTTCAATAGCTTAGACTATAGTTCATATCCTAAATTAAAATTTTATCGAACTTCAAGCAGAGAATATTTCCATAAATTCAAAACATAGAAATAATTTTTTTTACACGCAATTGCGCATTTACATTTTTTTATTGTATTTTCAGAGATCACAGGAATAAGCGAATATGATGCGTAAATCTGTAAAATCTGAGATTAGATACCCATTTAAAAACATCTCTTTTTTCCTTCATTAATGCATATACGTATATGCTATTTGCTTTGTACGCTACACTTCGACTTGCATCGAGGTCAACGATATTCTTTACTAATTGGTTTGATTGACAGTGCAATAGGCCATAGAATGAAATTGAGAAATGATTGCTAAAACATATTGTGAGATGATAAATAACACTAGCACATGATTTAATAAGTATGCAGAACTACTATTTCAAATATCTTTAAAGAGAAAAAAAGAAGTATTGCTATTTTTTCTTTTCGTTTAGATACCACAACATACAAATCAATTTCTACTAGATGAGTAAGTTACGTCCTCATTGAAAACCTAATTTTAACATTTGTATAAAGTCATCAAAAACACAATGAAATTCGAACGATTATAAATAGTTTTCATAATCAAGTAAAAATTTAAAAAGAAACCCAAACAATCTATTTTATTTTTTGCAATATAGTTTCAACAATTATTCGCTGACTTCAGCAATAAAGTTGAATCATCTCTTCAAATAACACGAAAAAAATATGAAAACGATCTTGAAGACACTCGTCGATCTTATCGTATGTCTTTAGATGAATTACATACAATTACTAGTGAGAAGAAAATCATATTTATTTTCTTATTTTACTTGTTATTATTTAGATGAACAAATTCAAGAGATTCATACTAGTTTAGAATTACAATACTGGAAAAGACTTTCCGATATGCGTAATCAATATGAATCAAAATTTCAATGTGAATAAAACGAAATGATTTCGTTTAATCGAAAAAAGTGCATTTATTTCATTTAAAAAAGAAACACACACAGATAAAGTAAAGCAAAGTGAATAAGTAGCATATTAAATAATAGGTTCTTTTATTTGTCTAGGTTGAAGAGCATTAAAAAAAAGAAGGATATAGAACGATGTGTCATGTTTCTCTCTCTTTTTTTTTAATCAAGGCCAAGATTTAATGGATGCTTTGGTATTTCATTAAGAAAGAATTTTTTCATAAATTCCGAAAAAAGATTGTCTAAAACAACATGTAAAAAAAATAAATAAAAACAAAATAAATGTAATTATTTGTACGTACAATCCATCTTCTTTTTGCCATGTTCAGTTATGAAATCGTAAGCTTTTTCAGAACTCGATTCATCAATATCCCATGAAATGAGCATATTAGCAAATTCATCTTTTAATACAGCTCGTTCATCTAAAACCAAACAGTCATAATTATGTGAATAAAAATCAAAATCGTATATCTATTTATATTGAATTACCTAAAAATTCATTTGCACGAAAGAGAGCTTTATGTAAACCTTCATACCATTCAGGAAACTCATTTTTGTCCTTTAAACCACCAATAATATCATTCATAACATCGAGCCATTCATCTTTTGAAGTAAATTAGTTAGAATATAGAAAACAAATGATTGTTATATAACATATCAACATACCTAAATCAATATTTCCATCTTTGTTTGCATCACCAACAGCGCATAAATCCCAGAAATATTTTTGAAAATGTTGTTCAAGACGTTTACGTAAAACTTTCAATCGAGCATTTTTTGCAGCTTCATCTTTTGACACAATTGACTACGCATAGTGAAAGAAAAATAAGCATTATTTTATTAACTTATTAATAAAAAAAGTATAATAAATCACCTCAATAGCAGCCTCAAAGTCAGTCCAATTAACAAGGCCGTCATTATTTGTATCTATACATAAATAGAAAAAGACATATTGATAATATGTATTTACATGAAATTATTTGTTGTCTTACCAAGTGTTTTGCTGAAGAATTGTTCAAGTTTCTTAATCGACGATTGTGGTATATTTTCACGAGGCATCGTTATAATGAAGCGGAATGAAAGAAATCTGAAATTAATTGAGACAACATGTGCAAATATATATATATATATTGATACACGAATACTTCCTACTAATAAAATGCATCGATGTGCAATATCTTGCTCGATATATCTGTGCACTGTGCAGAATATTCTGGAAGTATTATTAAGATATCATCCATTCTCTTCTCTCCTACTTAAAACAACAAAAAAATATTGTCTCTTCATAAAACTTCTTAATCATTCTACCGTCATTGGGTTTAGGCTGACCTGATTAATATTTATTCATAATCTAGTGTTTCGAAATTTATCACTTGATCCACTGAATTATTCACCATTTGGCTCGATTGATTATCGAACCAATAGAAGAGAACGTTCTACGTGCCTAACGACCTTTTTTTCTACTTCTGTTGTATATACACCAACTCGCACACCATATACAAAATAAGCTTTTTCTATGCAACAAAAAAAGATAGAAAGAGAAGTGCAATGTTCTCTGTTTGGTACCGGATATATTTTCTTATATATTATACGATGTGCTCGCACACATAAATAAATACCACACAACTGGCCCGATTTTCTAACGCCGAGATGAGGCCGAACGAACAAGCGAGTGTACAAGACTTGTTCTATCGTCAATATACTGTACCATTTGTGTACGATATTTGTTTTTCTCTTCCTATCTAAAAATGATAGCATAAACGGTGTATGGGCAGAATCGGGAATAACCGCTATGGCTATAACTTGTTTCCTTCTTTCTTTCTTTCTCTCTCTCTTCCTCTCTCTTTGTGAATTACTTGTTTAGTTTTACTATTGAGGTTCGAAACATTCTATTACGATAGGGTAAATAATATCAGGACTGTGCTCATGAAGAACAAAAGATTCCTAGAGAAAAAACAAAGAATCTGTTTCCATTGAATATTCACTAGTTTTTATTAGAATGTCCCATGATATCCTAATTAGGATAGAAAAATCAAGCATGAATAGATTGCATGTTATACACTAACTTAAATCAGCAGCTACTATTTTCTATCAATAAACTTGTGCTCTACGATTATAAATAAATCAATTGTTTGTGATTTTAAAATTATATTATTCATATTATTGAAGAAATGAATCATCTATGAATATTATCGAACGACTGGTTTAGAAAAAGGCAAACTTCTTCATGCTGCCGCAAACTAGCGCAATATTATGATCACAGAACAAGACCAAAGGCTTGCTATATGTGTATTTCAAAGATGTTTGCGTGGATGAATAATGATATCAAAATAAGCTAAAAAATAAGCCAATTAATAAACCTTAATCAAACAAATCATAATACTAGAAGGAATTTTTTTATATAGAAAACGATATCCAAATCTTCAATGATAAACAGATCAATTAAAATAAAATGAAAAATAAACATATTAAATGATAAATCTTTATTTTATTAATAAAAAAATGATTGTATCAATAAGAATTAAATCTAATAAAATTCATATATTAAATAAATAGATGATTAATGATTGAACTAGAAAAAAAATTAAGATATGATGATAACAATAATTTTCAAAAGATGCACATGAACATATTACTTATCATTTTTAATTAACTTACTTAAATTGATCTCCTCATATGTTCAACGTTCTGAATATTAATTCGTGCCACAATAGTAATCTTCAAAGTTTTCTTTTAAACTGAATAACTATATAGTTATTTTTACTTTCGTGATTTGTATATCAATAGAATTAAAAGAGTAAATAAAAATAAACTGCTTGTGACTTAGATCAAAGGTATCAAAGCCCTTACGTGAAAAGAAACTGAATACACAAGATTACATTTTTTCCTACGAGAATTGGAGTTCAATTTGCGCACAAAACGAATTATTGAAGCTAGTTATGAACAGTATTCTGAAAGTTAACACTACTTACTAGGTACATATAATTCCAATAGTGATCAAATATAAGCCGTTTCTTTTCGAAGAGTAGACTTTGTGTAATATTTTTGCTTCAAATTGAAGTTTTTGTCAATGCTACAAAAAAGTGTAGAAATGTTTTCGATGCCTACTCTAAAGATCGAATTCGAGTGTATGTTGAAAACAATGTTGAGAGATGTTTGAAATATAAAAAAAGATCTTATTGTAGTCACAAGTATTGCCTTTTCAACGATTTATATGAACTTGCATTTTAAGAATAGAAACTGTAAGAATTCTTCTCCTTCAAATAGATGAAGTGTATGCGTAAGTTAAATTGTCATGAGCTTTAGAATATTATGCAAATGTGCGATGGTATATCACTCTGAGAGGTTGGGTCTTTATGTTCACTACAGTGTAAATAGAAAAATCATGGATCGATTAGTACAGATCACATGTACCTTCTATTTGACGAACTTTGATTCTCATTTCGGCACTTCTTTTTGTATGGTGGATTTATTTGTTTTAATCAGCAATTGTCAGTTAGTATCCGTTATACATTCAAGAGCCGATGAATGATTATTCATGTACAGTGAAGCATGGATTTCAGAGACTTCAAGAAAGGAGCACTATTTCAATACTCAATATCGGATCCATTTAAATAAAAATATGATTCATATACTTAAAAATTGTCCTCCAAATATAAATTTAGTAGACTGTATCTGAATAGTCCTTGACAATGATATTCAAACAAGACGGTTGACAATGGTGACATTTAGCCTTAGAAGTAGTATCCTACGATGAAATATGCTGCGAATGTATTCGAAATTTGCTTTTGAATCTAGTGGAATTTTGTTATCTACATTCCTGTTGAGATTATGTGGTGATTTTTTATGTTTTCATAACTATCGAGACAATAAACAATACAATGCAATCTACTAGAACGAAATATACACGAAGCATGTTTCATGAACTCGAAATATATTTAATCAGAGTTTCAAAATATGAATTTCATTGTCCTACTAGTCCTTCTCAGGACTAGAGTGTGCGTCGAGCATACATGTCTAAGAGTTCTCTGCTTATCTGGAAACACACCAGAAATCAAATGCTCTAATAGATTCATCACCATAAAATCTACACCCAAAGTCGAACTGAGATACACACCATAGATGCCCATCGCGGGTGAAAATCTGCCGCTGCCATCCCGCTACCGCACCGCCATGAGCATCTATGATACACACGTCTCATAACAGTATCCACTCACTCCATTATTTGCTATAGTAAACAGAAGTACAATTTGCATTCCATAATCAAAGACCGATATCCATCCACAATCAGTCTAAAAATCATTAGCGGAAATTACAGAACTGCTGTTCTGTATGCGAAGTAAAATGCGACAACTCGCTGCTGGATCAGACGACAGCTGAAAACATCTTGCTCAATCAACAATATATTCTATTTTGTACAAAAACTTCACAATGTGTCCATATTAATGATGATCTTCGTGCATACTGTCACTGTGGCTTCTATTCAATACAGTTGTTTTGTAATCCAATCAGTTGAGTCCACTTCATCATACTCTTGATTGTTTGCCGCTCTTGTTGAAAATTGCAAAAAAAAAACACCAATGACAACAGTCGATAAAGTGCGCCATTCTGTAATTATTTCTCATGTACTTGAAAATACTGACGTAGTGTGATTTCGATATTGTTTTTCTCTATCGTTGTGCTTTCATCTCATCTACTTGTATTCTTTCGTTCTGTGTTTAATCCTTGGATAGCAATAACAAAAAAAGTTATTTTACGATTTCTCAAAATATTTACGACTGATTCCTTATATCAAATGGCCATAAAGATACTGTATGAAAAAAGTGATTTTTTGACGTAAGCGTAAACCATGCCTACACTTGTTTCATTAATGTTTTTGAATCAAAAAGTGAATGTTATTGTTATAATAAAATAAAAAAATAACAATAAATTTCTCATCCCTAGTGACAAATACAAACAAAAGCAGTTACACAAATGCAACAAGTATCGATATATTGACTTTTGTCTAAAGATAACAACGAGACAGTACTCAAAGTAGTAAATCTTTGTTTGGCCTCTGTAAATGAATGAAATAATAGATTGTGCATTTCATATGTTCTAAAGAGTAATGACATGAATCATCTAATAATTTCAGGTTGGCTCACGTATTCAAATATCGATAAAATACTCAATTTTATTCATAGAAAATAATATATAAGAAATCGATGTATACCCAGGTCGAGCATTACGGCTACCAGAAACGGTCGTATACGGTCGTTTCCTGCCGTTTCTCACCGCAAATGGCCGTAACTTGACGTTTTGGCATGCACCGTATTACGGCCGTAATTAATCGTGTCGTAAACGGTTACTAAAGACCGTAATGTGGTTTGATATTTCCGTATCCGATCGTTTATGGCACGATACAAAAACGACCGTAATGCGGCGCATACCAAACGGCCGTAAATTATGGTCAAACGGCCGTGTATGACACAAGTTGGTCGACCTGGGTATCTACTTTCGACGAAAGAATTCAAAAATTATCCAGATCGAATGTTTACTGAAGTAACCCTAGAGTGTAGATAAGAAAGTTATTGCTTCGATCACCCCATTATTTAAAGTACATTAATTTTCTCGACAGAAAATTTTCATTGATAAGAAACCCAACAAAGGTATCAGGGAGAGCACAAACTTTGGTAATGCTGTTTAGAAAAATGCAATTTTTATCTTCCTGCTGAATCACTTGATGCAGTTAACAAACAGAACAAAAGAAAAATACAGCAATATATATTTAACGGGCTTACTTTGCCATGTCACTAGCATTCGCTGTTTGTTATATCTGTAATAGGTCTTTGTGAGGGAAGCCGAAAACGATACATTCAGCCTTTGTTGAAAAACCTGTTAGTCTACATAAATTTTCTTGATGAGTAGAGAAGCAATCGATAAACTAGTTCATAGTGCTCGTGAATTACTTGAAGCTAAAGACTATCTCGGAGCGCGCGAATTATATACACAAGGACTAAAATTGGATCCATTCGACGCTACATTATGGAATTACAGATCAAATGTTCACATGAAGCTCCAACATCCAGAATTAGCTTTTACTGATGCTGCTCGCGGTCTTAAGCTTTTAGATGATAAACTTGCTCAGACAAATTTATCTCTGCCGGACCGTAACTTTTCAGTTTTCATGAAAATAGACCTGTTGTTCAGTTGTCTCCTTGCCGCTGAGAACCTAAATATTTGCGAAACAGCATTACAATTCATCGATCGGCTATTAACCAATTCGCACTTGCTATCCAACGAAGCGCGTCAAACTATTCTCTCAAAGCAAAAGTCGCTGAAACGCAAAATAAAAGCGCAGCGTCATGCTTTCGTTGTAGCAAACGATTCCTTGCGTATAAATCTGCACGATGCATTAGATTTAGGAACAATGCGTATGCCTAAATACTCGTGGAATGAATTTGAACCCTTCAATTCAGAGAATGACATAGAAACGCAATTGAACGAAATTAATATTATGCTTGAGCCAATTGCTCCTAAACTGCTGGTCGTCCGTATGTAAGTTTTTCACTTATTACCTCTTAGCGGCACGTTTTTCCATTTCAACTCATTATTCGAAATGCTTTCACTAGCTCCAAACATTCTCCAGATTCAGATGTAACGTATAAGGTTTTTGAAGGAAACAATATGTCCATTAAAAAAAGTATTACTATGACAAAATGCGGCACTATCAAGAGCCCATTTATTTTCGTGAGGTGTTCAGTATTAAAAAAAATGCAGAATGTAAGCTTATTATTTGTCTTTTATCACAGTAAATATGACGTGAAGCTCTGGCACTCACCAAACTAAATTTTCTCAAATCGAATAATCAGCTATTTTGATCACCCATACTTGGTCACATGAACTAGCCGAGGTGTTTCCAAATTTAAGGTACCCAAAAAAGCGTCCGAGAGATTTTGGGCGTGGGTTTTTATTGAAAGAGAAGTTCTTTGATGGTTAGAATTTTCCAGTTATATGATCATCTTGTTTATGACAAAGAATGCTTTTGAGTACTAATAACAGTATTCAGTTGCTAATCGGATAAATTAAGAGAACCCTAGAAAATTGTATCTATTTTACCTTTTCTTGAAAATTTTTGTATTCTTGAATTCAGGAAATCATTTCTTACGAAATCCTATCGTATTACCGAGTGACATTAAAGGCTTACATTTTGCATAGTTTTGAAGGGCATAGTATTTATCACCGGCTTTGAATTCTGAAATTTCCAGGTGAAAATAAAATGCTTTCGCAATGATTAATACATCTCATGAGATTTCTCTTCGACCAAACACATCAATTTACTTGATTATTGTAGGCCTGACAACCCGACACATTTCGATTTTAACAAGGTTCCTGGCGCTTCGTCTTCTGAAGCCAGCAGACCCCAGTTAGGTATCATAGCACGCGAGAAAATCACGCGAAAGGAGAAGATTCTAGACGAACCTGGAATCTTCATTAACAACGGTTTATATGGTCCAAAATGTAACTATTGTAATAATATTGTATCGGCCTCTAAGGAAAAACCGGTTGATATAGATAAAACAGCATGTGCAAAATGTGAAGAACGATTTTGCAGTGTCCAATGCTGTGAGCTGGCTTTGAAAACTTATCATCAAGCTATATGCGGTCGCGATATTTCTGAAATTATGGAATACGTCGCCAGAGGTAGAACATGCAGCAGCTTACTTCACCTATTTGCATTCCGTGTGCTGGCAATGGCAGTTCAAAGCAACAAGCATCCGCTAGAGATGTCAGTCGTGAAGTACCTATCAGCAGGGACTAAGCAAAACGTGCCTTGGAATATTTACTATTCTTACTTATTGTATTTGAGCATGCTTAAGACGTTGGGACTATGCCAGTATCGTGATATTGATAAGTTTGATTTTTGGGTTTACTACACGCTTCAAAACAAATTGCAATGCAACGTGTTTGGTGAATATAAAGCGCCGCAACAACCAGAAAATGGAAAGTTGCTTATTTTCAATAGTTTTTTAAATCATTCATGCGCTCCAAATGCAGTTTATTTTAAGGACAGGCATGCTCATCAAGTAGTTGTCGCATGTGAAGACATTGAAAAGTATCAGCAAGTTTTCATCAGCTACATTGATCCGAACTGTCCAGTCAGTAAACGCCAACAATTATTTGAAGGGACGTTTGGGTTCACTTGTGCATGTGAACGCTGTGTTCACGAAATAGGAGCTGCCAATGGCAAAGAGATACGGAAACAGACATCTCGTTCTAAAAAATGAAATGCTGTATACTACTATTCATTTTCAAACAGAACACACATTACGAACATTTTTTAAAAACATCATAGAAATGCGACATAGACCAGCTTTTTTCATTGATCTGAAAAGAGAATCTAGGGCTATCGAAGATTCCATGAGCATGGGCCAGTTTGAATCTTCTCTTTCTTCACTGTCAAAGCCCTCATTCATATTCTCAACATACAGAAACTATGAAGTAGTTTCTGACTAAAACAAAGAATAAAAGAAAAAGAATTGTCATATCTTCATAAAAAATATGCAACAAAAAGAAAACGATATCGGCTTAATATAAGAAATGAAAAGTCTACTGAAGACTAATAGCGTTTTTCTTTAAACCATAGAAATCAATGCATACTACTCGTTCAAGAACGACAAGCTGGTAGTTTTTATCGAGTCCAAAATACGTGCTTACAGATCGTGTTGAATGCCTTAATTTAGAACAGATACACATGGAGTAGACAAATTTTAGAGGAGATCGACACAGAAGATCATTAGCTTTACTAGTTATTTGAGTCATGTATGCTTCGCATATAGATACAGATTCGAAACGTGCTGCAATGAATCTAATCGGTTTCGAGTAAATGGCAAAGTATTGCATTTAAGACAATGATACATAATTCAATGATACTCGGACTGACTAGCTATGCTCAAACCGAATACGATCTTCATTTGTGGTTAAATAAGAGACCAGAGATGAATATGATTAAAAAAAAGAGTAATAACCATCGAGTGATCATCCGAAAAATTTTCATTTCGATATTTTGATGAATAGCCCACAATAAATTGGGCACTGAATATCGATCAATATGTGGAAAAGCATTGGGTTTGATAGATACTAGCGAATGAATCACCTTCCGAAAGACGAAAAAAAATTAATCACCGCTTTTAAAGAATAACATACGAACTGATCCAAATGCCATTTGGTTGCCAAAAGTTATTTGAATCAAGTTAGGCATATTCAGATTTACATAAATGTAGATCATATGTAATTTATTACAAAAATAATTAACATGTAAAGATAAATGAAAGTGTTTTTTTCTGATCATGTATGGGAAAATACGATTACTATTTTGATCAAATGAGTACACGATCGTACTGCACTCCATTGATGGTTCCACCTGCCATCGTTTGTCGAGCATTAGTTGTAAATGTTTTTGCATTCGAATTGAGAACTTTGGCTGCTTCTTTGTTTAGAGGATCACTTGGATTTGGGCTCTGTAGATCAGAGTAAAGTTCAAAAAATAGAAATCAAAATTGCAAAACTTACCGCGAAAAGAAAAATAATACCGAAAATAATCGATGTGAGGTTTAATACTGGAGTCCAGTCTTCTCTAGAAATGAATCGACACATGCATTTATAATATTACGTATAACATTTAGGCTCACCTCAAAATATTCAAACAAACATTGCCCTCAAGATCAATATTTGGATGATAGATCTTTTGTGTACATTTAACTTTAGGTGGTTCATACGGATAATTTTGTCCAATATCGAATGAAAATTTGAAGGAACCACCTCTATAGTAACCCTAAATTAGAATCATTTTGAAATTAGTTCAATAATAGAGAGTGAAGTTGTATTCACATCATCAGGTGCTATAGTCAATATAAATCGAAGAAGATTGTTTGGATCAGGATAAGTCACTTGGCAAATGGACGGCAATGCGTCAAAGTCACTCGAATCTATAAATAAACCAACAAAGCGTTTAATATCCAGTTGAATAAGCAAATTGATTACTTCTTAGTCTACAAACTTGACAATACATAAAATTTCTTTAGAATCAATTTAAGCCTCGGAAATAAATGTGGAAGCTTCGGATTTCATCTGAGAGTTATGTGTACTGCAAAAAGTGCATGGGACATATGAGTCATTCTAGAATGTCTGAACACCAAAATTATCATGAGAAACTAGGCAATTTGATATCTGGATGCAGTTTTTGTGCATTTTGAGACATTTTTCAGGCGGTGTTTCGTTAGAAAGCTACGATTTAGTTCAAAACTAATATCAGATTCGGAATCAGCGCTAGAAACTGAGTCAATTTATATATGTTGTGAATAATTCTGAGAAAAATTTGTTTTTTGAAAAGAAATCCCTGTACCCCTCCTCAAGGATGGTCTGGTCAAAAATGACAATTTTTTCGATAACTCAACCGTTTCTTGAGGGATCCTTCTCATCTTCGAACTCGACCGAGATATTCATGAGATTAAACTGTGTGGAAAATTTCATCACGATCTGACTCTCCTTTCGAAAGTTATCGTGCCTACTTCCGGTCAGACGGACACACTAACCGATTCGATAGTGTACACTTTTTTTTTTGAGTACACAAAAACGTGCTTCCATCTTCAGTTATTACCCAACTCATATGAAAATGTAAGTATATGCCAGACCTAAGGTATGTTGCAATATTTATTCTCTAACTTGAATGAGAGCTAGTCGACAACAAGTAAATACAAAATGAAAAATTCATCTTTGTGAATCAAATGTTCTCTACTGAAAAAATCGATACGTCATACTCCTGAATGGATTGTTTTAATCCTATTAGTTTCAGAATTTCTTTTTTTTTTCATGAATAGATTTCAATAAGATCCAATGGAAATGAAATCAGAGATTCACATACAAACTTTAGCCTTTACAGATGAGTATGGTATCACGTTGTTTTTCCTTTCGCCTAAGTTGAGCCGAACTTATTCAACTTGCAGTTTAAAAATGGTCAGTATTAGTAGTAGTAAAAATAAGAACTTCAATTACCTGCAACCACCAGCTTGTAAACAGCCAGCCCATGTGATTGATCGTTGTTTAATGTTACTCCATGTTCATTGTCTATGGGTCGAGGTTTAGTGATGGGGTATATATAATTCAGCATATCTGTCATAGAGAGTATAATTTAGTTTATCTGTTATCTTGTAAGTGTGAGCTCGATGCTTTTAGCAACATTAACTACAAAATATATGACAAAACACGTGCCATGAAGATCATAGACGAGAAGAAACGAACGTCTAGACGTATGATATGAAAGCGCGATGCATATACCTGTACATAAGCCGTGTAAGTATAAAGAGAAAATAGCAGTACAATAAATACTATGACTAGTGGGAAATAAACTAACATAAAATCAAATCACATTGAATACATAGGAGTCCTAAGGAGAAAAAACTACGCGAGTATGTACCTACTAAAATTTTTGTCTCAAATTTATTGTAGATTCTATCGTGAACACGTTTCTCTGCAGCAGAGCCCAAACATGATGCATCAAGTATTTAATAGCAGTTGACAGTTTTTAAGTAACGTCGTCTTCTATATATGTTTTATTTTCTTATATTATCTTCTGTTAATTTCTGAAACTCCTTATATACATAACTATTGTTTGCAATGGTAAAGTTGGTAGCAAATACGTTATAAACTAAAGCTTTTCTCAGGCTAACAATTGGATAGTGGTTTACTATCTATTACGGTTCCAGTGAGTTGGGGTAGATCGATTTCAACTTAGTCACATAACATATATCGGTAAAGTAATGGGTTCTATTTTCTTCGTCGCTTCGATTATTTGCAGAGTTATGGTACTAAATATACTTGACATTTGAAATGTTCATTAACTGTTGGAATTTTCTCGATAACTTACTAGATGAAAAAATTGAGTATAGAATATTCTAGTGAAATTCGACTGTTTTTTTGCTTTCGAAGCAGGTAATTTATATCTTACAGCAGCAGTTTGTTTTTTCCAAATGACTCATTTATTATTATTGCAACATCACGACATGTGCTATTACGATTTTCGTATTTCTGTTTTTCTTTTCTTTCGAAATATTTTTCAAAGATATGTCGCAGGTGGAACTAAAATTCAGGAAAATTGAAATTTCTCCTATAGGAGAAATTAAAATTTTAATCTCACCTAGGAGAAACTAAAATTTCAAGTTTTCTTTGAAAAACTCCAGTAAAAATTGAAATTTTAAGTTCACCTAGGAGAAATTAAAATTTTAAGTTTTCCTAGGAGAATTTTAAATTTTCCTGAATTTTAATTTCTCCTGCGACAGATACACTCAATCTACACAAAATGGACAAAAATCGATGGGAAAGAAAAAAATCTACTTTATCTATCTATGACTAAGAAGTTAGGGAATTTCTAAAATAGTCTCTCTACTTTGTTCTACATCGAAAGATATAAAATTGTTGTGATTATAATCAGAAAATTTTCTAGAGTCACACAAAGATTGATCATTTTGAGTTTTAATGAGGCCATGAATTGAAATAGATATTTCAGAATATTCTTTACTATATATCCTATTACTCGAAAGAACAAGTACAGCATTTCTCTTGTTCATTGAAGCTTGAACTTCAAAGCCGTTTCCCATGCACTAGGAAATATTCGGGCAAAACGGTGTGCATACAGCCAATATGGAAATTATCGAATCAAATATACTCAGTATAACGGTATTCACTATCCATACAAATAAAAATAGCAACAGGTATATATGTACATTAATTAATTTACCTCTCCCCATGAAATTAATTTAGAAGTCATCACTTTTGAATTAATTATAAGATATTCGCTGATTTTTTCTATTTGAATGACTAAGATTTCAAGCTTCACAAAAAAAACAATTTGATTGAACTGGGCACGTCTTTTGTAAGAAAGCATTATGAGCATTAATTTTGCTAAGGTTAAAGAGACGATCGAGTTTAACTGCATCGCTGCAACAGAATCTATGATCTAATGAAATCATATACTTTTATCTGATCGTTTCCACATCATGATTGGATAAAATAAGCACAATTATAAATAATATTAACTAGAACTACAAACAGAAAACATGTTTACGAAATTGAGAGATATGAGTCATCATTGTGATGGAGCAATCAAATTCAATCACACATTTAAATGTTTATGCAAATATATCTATTTCTTTCTTCTCATCCTTTAAAAACATTTTCCACCTCTTGCCAAAAATAAACATTTTCGATTCATTCGTCCTTCTATTCATTTTATTCATTCACTTGTCATCAATAGAGTAATAGCTAACTAATCACGTGTGCACACCCATCGTCAAATATGACAACGTTGAATGTTGATGACAACAACAGTATTGCTTCGCGCACACGTTCGAAACGTAAAATTAATGCTTCGGATCAAGGTGTTCAACAGAGTAATGGCAATGGTATGGTTGATCGAGTTGCAAAGCTATGGAATAAACTCAACGATGCTCTTGTATATGCGCCTTACTTTCAGAACACAAATCAGAAAGGAGTATCTGAAGAACGCATCAAACAAATTGAGTCTAAGTTGAAAGTTTCATTGCCAACTGAAATCCGTACAGTAATTAGTATACACGATGGGCAAAATAAGATCGGCTATGGACTGAGCCACCGTTTGGCAACAACTGATCTTCTTCCGGTTTCGCAATGGCGACCCTATGAGACAAACCATGAAGAATGTGAACTTCTGCTCGAATGTCTCGTCGATAAAAAGATCTATGAAACAGCTGAACTGCGCGACGATGTTCGAGATCATTTAACTGCATACCTCAATGGTATTAAACAAGCATCAACAAACAACAGAAAAACTGAATATAGTATAGCTAACGATGATGTATTTCATGCATTACCCTGTGAGCTACTTATAATTGGCGAAGGTATGGACGATTACACTGAGCAATATTTGTTGAGTGTACGAACAAGTCGAATCTACATGGCCATACATAATATACCTGAATGGACATTGATCGGTACTTTCAGTGACTGGATAGACATGGGTACAGAAAATGCAATACGCGATAAAACAGACATTAAACAACTTCGCAACGATTTGAATTAGATTATAAGTATTGCAGCATGAATAAGTTAGCTTAGCAATGACATGAAACAAAGTGCTCGAGGATAATCTCTATAGTCAATAAAATGAAGGATTTATTCTCGATGACTATACTGAATCATAAAATCGCTAGAGATGCAAAATACTCTTAAGCATACTTCTATTTTGATAAATAAAATTTTAAAACTTTGCATTGATTTTTCTTCAGTGGTAGAGAACAATGATTTTGAAGAATTCAAACTCTGAAATGAGCAACGTTTTCGGTTTATATTTTGAAATTAAAGGAAGACTAAAGATAAAACAAAATAATCCTGAGTATTTCATTTGCATAAAAAGTATTTAATGACTTGTTTTCTCGATATAGACAACGATGTTTTATCGATTTACTGTCATAAAGTATAGGCTATACTTAAAAATTCTCTGAATTTTGAAAAAATTTCATCTCACTGTGTCATATATGATTAAGAGAAAATTAGTATACATGAAGAAAATAATGCAAATGCTGATCATATTAATCATACATACAGAGCAGCCAGCTATTTATTACTCAAAAATGTTACTAAAACTAATTAAATTTATTTAAAAAACTAGGCTGTATTAGTATCCTTTCATCGCCATCTCACTTTCTCAACGTGAAAAATTACTTTTACAAATATGAACGTGTAATACATCTGATTGAATGAGTAATGAGACACTCGATTATCTTACGTTATTCTTGTCTCAATAAATAAATGTAGAAATCACTTTTGCCCATTCATAAAGAGGTTAACGGTGCTGAAACTACTTTTATTAACTTTTCCACATGGTTACTGTAACTAATCATATTCATCGATGCTCTTAATATTGTTTTGTTTTTCTTCAACTACACGAAAACCCTCGTATTACTTATACGATATGAAAATATATGAGGATGATGTGACTTTATAATATAAATGATTGATATAAAGATGTATGATGATTCAAAATCGGCGTGATTGTTTTCTATGTTTTGATATATTTTATTAGAAGTTTGCCTCTAAGAAACAGTCTGTTTCATTTCTTCTTCCTACTGCTCAAAAGTACACGAAAACAGAATTAGTAATGGTTGTACAGTACGGTGTTGAATAATTTTCATGCAATCACAGGTAGAAGTAGAAAAAAGAGGCTATCACTGACTATTTCTTCGTTTTTTTATGCCCCGATAACACATCCGATTGCCAGTTGATTGTTTACAATTGGATAGCTATTGAGACGGTTCTGGCATTTTTATTCAGTGAAATGTATACATCTGACTCAGACCCACACTTTCATCAACATGAGTACGACGTTGAACAGAATTGGCGAAAAAAAGAAAAATTCCGTTATTTAATGTTTAGCTTCCTGCTTTCGTTTCCTGTCTTTTCAAGACAATGACTTTTTCGAGCAATTTGTTCTTACCAATTCGTCTGTTCGTACTTGTAGTTGGTAGCAACTGGGTTCGCGTGCAACATCGATATTCGATTGGTGGCAAATTCACTTATGCAGAAAATAAAGCTACTACAACTGTGAATCTTTTGACCGGTAAAACTAATATCACATTTCAAGAAACAATCTGCACAGAACGCATGGTTGAAGTTGAAGATGAACTACGTGGTACGAGCGGTGAAGTAGAAAAGTCTTGCACCCGCGCTCGCTTTATTCCTCCTGATAAACTCGCAAAAACATGTATACTTTTTTCAAGAACCCTTGACGAATTGAAAATGTTAACTAACAAATCCATAGATTACTCAGTTGGAGATAACTGGTCGAACAAAATAATGGAGAGTACTTTCATACATGCAACTGTAACTCGTCTGATTGGATAACACGAAATATTGACACTCAAACAGGCATCACATTGTTGCTGGATGAGATTTCGAAGTCGACTATAGGAAACAATCATAAGACCGAAATCCATGTTAGAACACTTATCAAAAGAGAAACTGCTGATAATGAAGTATGAGAATTGAAGAATTGTTGCACCTTTATATGCATACAGGCGAAGCATATTGAAATTTCACGCAGCTGCTAGTACGGTAAAATAGAAGGTAGATCCATCTATGCTTCAACTATGGAACTCCTCTCCACTGTTAATGCATGTGTGTGATGAAAGATATATTCATTAAAATATACAGTATGGACTTAAAGCGCTTCGAAAACTGTGACTGTAAATAGATTCTATCACAAACCACCTAGAGAAAGAGAGAGTATTTTTCTACTATTCAAAAGTCGATATGCCACGATATAGTTTCTTTTAATTGCTAGCAGTGCCAATTGAGCACAAATAATTATTTATTATCTATCCGAAAAACGATCATGGTTCTGTGTCTGTAAAGGTAATATCGAATATGGTGATCTCTGCTATTCTTTGAGCCGACTAAGTTCGCGATAATATTCTATGCAAAAGAATGGTAGATGATGTCAATTCGAGTGATTTTTATATCACCTTATTCTATGCCATCTTCACGGAGCTCTCATACGGTGAAATCATATAGTTTACGTTAGTATTATTGAATGGAATCGAATTCGCATCACTAATACTGAGAAAACCTATAATTCGTCAACAATGATTTCGAACAGGTGAAGAGAATATGAATTTGTATACTCGTTCGAGTCTTATACCTTACGTTCAGTTAATGTGCTAATATTGCAAACTAAGAAGATTTTATTTTTGTAGGTAATGTTTATTCTAATGTTCATCTTTTTGTTCGCTTTCGATTCTCTTGTTTTGGCATCTGTAAAATCCTTTCATTATTTTTTTCTATCATTTGATTGATAAATTGTAATAGATTTTTAATTTTATTCCACATTGTGATGCATTGAAATTGTTTTTATAAGAATATTTCTGTGAAATTTTCTATGATCTAGTGAAATCAATAATCTGCCGGGCTTTTTTAAACTGATCTTAAAGATGAAAAATATAATTTATATCCTGGTTTACGAAAAAAACAAAATCAATGACACGTTTTTCGTCCCAAGTGAAATATTCAAGAAAGAAATTTTTAACTCTACCATTTCAGTAATTATTATTTCTATTGATACCAGAAAAATCTGATGTATTCAACTATGATCAATTCTCTCTATTGTCCATCAATATCCGTACAGATATCGCAAATTGATCAGAATACAAATTCGACTTTGAGTAGAGTAATTTTGCATGTCGGATTGATATCGGGAAGTATCACTATTTTAATTGAAACACACGCTGTTATTATCTATGTTTGAACCAATTGAATGATCACGTGCTCGGCACGCGCTCAATGGTGCATACTGAAAAAATTATCCGCGCATAATAGTATTCATCTGAACTTAATGTATGAAAGGATGAAGAGAAAATAATTTTTTTCTCCAAAAACTAATATTCTTCAGATTTCTATCTAGGATAGCGACTAAACTTGTATTAACATGTTTCTTCTACTATGACTGTATTATAGCATGTGCCCTCATTGCCCTATCTAAGATTTTCTCTATATGGAGAAAATAAAAAAAATCTCATTTTCCTCCATCCTCTCGACTGCCCTCGTTCACTTTATGTTTCATTCACTGTCGAGGTTAATGTATTAAGTCATAACGTGCGCAGAGAATTACCCTAAGAATTATTATTTTCATCAGATAGAATCAAAAATATTCTACAGAGAATACTTGTATTGTTTACAATAGTTTTTCACTCATGGCCGTTTTGACTACTAGTCAGGGACGGCGCGAAGTAATAAAAATATAGGGGGGTTACTTGAAAACGGGAGGTTTTTTTTTCAAAAATCGGAGTAAATCAATAAAAATCTCTCTTCTATTTTCTTCAAATCGGAGTAAAATTGAAACAAAAATTTCCAAAGTTGGGGGAGGGGCTGGGGGGGCCCCCCCCTGTAGATTAAATCAAAGCGTTCGACAATAATGGAAAAATCATCGTCGAATCGTTCTATAAGTAAAAAAAGTCTGTCTACAGAAGTGAGTATTGAATGTAAAATTTGTGGAGAATTTGCTAAATATTCACATTTCGGCGTCGTTTCATGTAATCCATGCAAGATGTTTTTCAAAAGAAATGGTGAACACGGAAAAGTTAATTGAATATATCAGTATTTTCTTTTACCCGTCTGCATTCTTATTATTTTTTCAATTATAGGATGCTTTGAAATGTCCTTATAATGGTCATTGTGAAATAAATATTAATAATCGTCATGTATGCTCATATTGTCGACTATCCAAATGTTTTGATTGTGGAATGCAAACAGAATTGATTCGATGCTCGTACTCAAAAAAAGATAAAACGAATCAAAAAAGCGCATCAGTGGCAGATGCAGAGCCAGTAGTTGCATTAAAGAAGTTAACACCGGTACGATCGTTCTATTATCATACTTCAGTATATAATCTCTAGTATGATTAATAAAACTGTGAAGTTTCGAGTTTTTTTTCTCAAAATGAATAATTCCACGGAATATCTACACCCCGGAATGTAACGGAAACTTGAGAAATTTTTAAGATAGAGGTCATGATTAGAAAGGAAAAAATCAGTCTAGACTTAAACGCATAAATTATTTGGAAAAATAACTCCATATTCTCTTTACTGTTCAATTGATATTTCATTTTGATATCAGTGAATTTTTTTCTGTAAATAATAGAAAATCGAAAAATATTTGTTACTTTTCACACTATTAATTATTTTTAGCTATTTTTTCTTCAAAGTTCGTAGAAATAATATTATCGAACAAGAGAAAATCGATCCCTATCAATCCTATTCCTCTAAGGCACTGAAGAGCGAAACTTCAACGGTTTATATGTGAAAAGTATATTTTTCTATTCTAACCTCGTTCTCAATTAACAGAAAATGTTCAACTTGCTGACAAAAAACAATTGAAAATTTACGGACGATTTTCTTCATTGAATTTAAATCTATTGAATCGAATTATTTGAACCCAAATGGAATATTATGTACCATTAAAAAAACGGTTTTTTTCTGATACTTTCAGTTTAGTTTCTTGTGACATAAATTACTGTTTCTCTAATCTTTTTTTTAATGTTTAGATTCCTAATCTAAATATTTTACAATCGGATCAATCAACATTAACTGTCAATAAATGGAATTTGATTTCCAAAATTTATCACATTGCTATGATGAATATAGTGAACTATCAATAGGTGAAACGTTTTATGTTTGAACAAAGTTCTCTACCAAGTAAATTACACAATAAATCAGGAGCAACAAGAGAGCTAACTTTATTCTCTATAAAATTCAATTAATAGATTGTTCTAAACATTTCAATGCTGTTAAACCAATTACTCATTGATTTGTATTACGTGCTGCTATGCATTTAGCAGATCAACTTGATTTTGATACGATCGTCATGAAATTATTTTTCGCTATTGTTTTATGTGCAACAATTCGCTATGCCATCTATTCCGATGCGTCACTAATAAATTTATCACATATTAAAGGTAACTTACAGTATATTGAATTAACATGACAGTATTTATGTTTTATAGATATAATTTTGAACGTGCTGTTATATGTTGATCTGAGTTTCTTTAATGTTTTTTTTACGATGGATGAAGCTGTTGTTAAAACACATGGTGTTCAATGGTTTTGAGATACTATTTTGTCTATTGTTGATTAAGCCAAACAAAGTTTGACTCTCAATGAATAAATGTATTCATTTTCGGTTGTTTGAGTCCTATCTGTATGATGTTCAATGTTTCGATTTTAGATTTGAATAAATATGAAATAGAAATTAATCGATTTCAATTTGAAAAAAGTTACTAAAATCTCTTGGCTATCGAATAATTATTTCAACAGCAAATTTCTTCGTTTGTTTAGAAAAGTAATGACCTATAAGAAAATTAAAATGTTCTAAACTAATCATTAAATCTTTATGATATGCATGCTATGGTATATTTTACAATCTACATTGAAGTTCATTTTCTTTTCAGAGAAAACTTTCATGTCTCTTCAAAAACCTTTTCATATCAAGTTACAGAGAATATATGCAATCGGCTTTTATGAAATTAATCATAACGTTCGCATTCCAGTAAATCAATTCTAGTCCAATTGTATAAAGAAAACTGTTCAAAGTATTTCAAATTTCCAAAAAGTAGAAGCCATTTTCTCTCCAATAGAGTGAAAAAAGTGATTAGAAAAATGTAAATGTCAACAGAAAAAAAAAACATCAGATTTATAACTTTCAATATAATTTTACTGAAATTCAATGACATATATATTTAGAATATATCTTGTTCTCTTTGCAACCACTTTAAATTTTTCTTTGTATTCTTTTAATAGGATAACATCTCTATATAAAAGTTCGATCGCTTCAATATAATTCAAATCCATCAGATTTCCTTTTATGGTAAACTTCTGCAATGTAACTGAAACGTCGCACTAGCACACATTAGATCTCCATGATCGTTGGGTACTGCGTGATGAGCTCATCGAATGAATGCAATAGCTCTAGTATGTTGATTGTGTCTGTGTGCAATAGCACCTAGATTAATAAGCACATTGCCTGAATCAGGATTTTCCGTAGGTAAGCCATTAACTAGTAGCCGAAAATATCTTTTTGTTCGGTACACATATCATGGAACGTCATTCATTACATTAGCGAACACTTACCCAGTAAACCACGGATAATTATCGATATTGATTCTGTATCCAAACCTGTATTATTTGAAGTAAATCAATTACTATTTTCTCTATCAGTATGACAATCAACGTAACGAGTACTACTAAAACTACAATAATTCAAAATTTAGAAAAGTGTCTTTAGAATATAAGAGATGAATCACTCAAAGCGACAGTTTCGTTATCTTGACTTTTTTTTTGTATGAAGCATAGACAGCAACAGTATGTTTTATCTTATCAATATAAATCTGAATGTAGAACTTGTTGTCATATATTTATATAAGCAGATCTTATTGGAAGGTGAACCATTAATGAAAGAATAGATAAAGCACTGGTTTTCTATATATTGTGGTAGACTTAAAGTGATCAAGATGCACCATTATATTGTAATTTTTATAGGAATATTTTTTGTTAATTTTACGCATAGTAGCTACACAACAAAACATTTTAGCAAACTATACCATCCTGGTTATAGTACAGTTGGAAATCTAAACGTTCCACTGGAATATGACTGTGCACTTCGTGCTTTCATCATTGAAATGGCTAGGTATATTGCTCCCCCGTCTTCGCAAACTTATTGGACAGAACTGAGTCAAAGTGCTTTTCAAATGAATCAATGCAACAATGTTTCCATTGCTAAGAACACATGGAAGAATCGGACGAAATCGTTCAAGATAGCACCAGAAATACAACGAACAACTTGTTATCATAGAATATTTGTACATGACTTTCAAGGCAATGATATGTATGATGGAACATTTGAACGGCCGAAGAAAACTATTCAAGCAGCCTTATCGTTTACACGTACTTTGCGTGCTACACTTGGCAGTGACAAGATATTATGTATTACCATACGAGGCGGGACTTACTATTTGGGCACAAATGCTACAACAACAAGCAGTCAAATAGGTGCCATTGCATTAACAGCCAATGACAGTAATCTTGTGATTGAAAACTATCAAGATGAGCGTGTCATATTGAGTGGTGGAACATTACTACAATTGCAATGGTCTACTCATGCTAAAACAGCTGCTGGAGGTACTATCATGAAAGCTCATATACCACCATTCGTCAATTTGAACCAATTCAATGAGTTATACATTGATGATCGAAGAGCCATTGTTGCTAAGTATCCGAATGGTGATCCTTCTACTCAAGGATTATATGCAAAAGATCCTGGCTTTTCTTATGGTGCAAAAAGCTGGGTTTCGCCTATTGTCAATCCTAGCGTGAACATTCATGTAGATAAACCTTATCGAAATGGTACAGTGTTTACTAATTACCAGCTTGGCATAGGTGGCGGGGCTTCTGTGTTCAATCCACCTAGAAACTTCTGGAGTACTGCATCACCTACTGCCGGTAGAAACTACGTAGTTCCTCGAGGATTCACAGTGAAAAATGGTGCATTGCCTCATATTAGTAACTGGAGTAAGCCGACAACTGGTTTTGTGCATGCTTTTCATCCTGGTTACTGGGGTAGTTGGGTATTTGAAATAGCATCAGTCAATAGTACAAAAAATACGATCATGTTCGGTCGAGGAGGTTTTCAAGAGGCACGTGGTTCACATAGTGGAGGCGCATTTTACGTGTCAAACATCTTTGAAGAGCTTGATGCTCCAAATGAATGGTTTCTAGACAAAGATACTCGAACACTCTATTTTATGCCAAACGAAACAATGCCTCAGGTTTTTGTCGCTAGTCAAATCCCATGCTTGATTTCTATAAGCGGCAGTGATGATAAAAATTCTGCGAGTAATATCTTGATTCAAGGTTTGATATTTTCACAAACAAGTAATACATATATGCAAGATTATATGGTACCAAGCGGTGGTGATTGGGCTCTTCATCGAGGTGGCACTATGTATTTGACAAACACAAAAAATATAACTATTACACGCAACTTATTTACACAATTGGGTAGCAATGGTATAGCTTTGATTGATTACAATGATGCTACATCAATCGCTTTGAATGAGTTTGTATGGTTAGCCGATTCGGCAATCATTCTTGTTGGCAGTACGAATGGAATCGATGGTTTTAGCGTTATAAGTCAGCCTGCCAATACTCTAATACAATCAAATCTGATTCATGAAACTGGTATCTATATCAAACAATCATCGCCAGTACTCATTTCTGTGAGTCGAAGTATTTCGGTTATTGGCAATCTCATGTTCAATATGCCACGAGCAGCTATCAATGTCAATGATGGCTTCTATGGCAATCATACTCTCAGTTGGAATGTCATATTTAATACTGTGCGAGAAACTAGTGATCATGGGCCCATCAATTCGTGGGATCGGCAACCATTTTTGACAGATGCTGTACAGACAGGTTTACCTTCACTTTGGCAACATAAGAGTCATATTCATCATAATACTATATTCAATAATTATCGTTGTGTATGGCCAATCGATCATGATGACGGTAGCTGTTTCTATGAGGATAGCTATAATTTTCTAGTGTATGGAGGTAAAAAAAATTATTTAGGTCATTCAAAAACAGATCATCATGAGATTTATGTGTTTCCCGATGCAAACCAAAGCGATTTTATAAATAGTACGTGTCTTCGCGATACTGCAGCTCAGCGCGGCTCTAGTGGTTGGAATGAAGTTTGGATCAATAATACGTGTGTACTTTTTAAGAGTTCAGTACCGTATCATATTCAAGGTTGTGATACATCTGATCTATTTGTACCTCTTTTGATGTCGAATCAAATTTATGTTCCATCCGGAACACAAGTCGCATTTGTATGCAAAGTGAATGGTACTACTAAAAAACTCACCCTCAAACAATGGAACTCGTACGGCTTAGATCTTGGCACTACCATCAATACAACACCCGATGTTCAAGACATCATTGAATGGGGCCGTGAAATGCTACAACGAGCAGAGTAACATCGAAAAGAAACAATGTTTTTTTTTTAATTGACTTGATCATTTTTGTATGCAGTATTGCATAAGTTTATTTTCTCTTTAATGGAAAATTTAAGAGTAGCTATACATAAAAATAATCTTTACAAAATGAGAATGCTAATCATCAGATAAGATTGAAAGTCATTCTGCGTACTTTTATTGAAAATATGATGATGATCTTGTACTTTGACATTTGTTCAATAAATAATAAGTCATTGTCATTTCATACAATTTCTATTCTACTCTTGTAATTTTGTTCATTTTCTTCAAATTGATTGAACATTTAATTAAGTTTCCCATTTTTGTAGGCACTTCGAAATAAAATCAATTTGATATTTCTTTCGAAAACAAAAACAACAAGTATTCCATAGATCGAACAATTATCGTAGAACTGAAAATAATTGATTGTATCTTATTAAATTTGATAAGATAAATATTCAACAATGATGAATAAATTTCGGAGAGACCCTGTATAACAAGCGTTTCAATGTAGATTAGTAAAAATCAAATAATTCTATAAATCATTTCAATTAATCTGCACATTTAATATGCCAGGAATCTTATAGGGACCGTACATTATTGTAAAAGTATTGTGGTGTGCAATTTTTATCCTGCACTATAACTATTAACGAACTAGAACATATTGCGCTGTGATAGATAGTAGAAGTTTCATCGACTAAATACATCATGAGAGTGATCTTACAATAAGTATACTTTGTGATACGTGTGATTTTGATCGGATACTTTCTCTCATCATAAAAGTAGAAATTTTAATTTCAATAAGGCAATCTTACGTTTATAAAGAAATCAATGTTTTAATTCATTGAACAACTTGACAAATGATTTATACCATTATAATTCGATTGAGAACTAGGTACGCATCACGTTATTTTCTGGATAGTGTCAAGCAAAGCATGTAGAGCAGTATCGTGTAGTAATACTGAAAAATATTCAAGCAAAAAAATAATATTTCACATTGATCTGCATCAGTTCGATATCGAGTACTGTTCTTCAGACGCCGTTGGTTGTTGAGGTAAGCAAGATTTCCGTCGAATATCTTCGTTAATGTAAACTCCCAACTGTTCAAAAATATCGGCCATCACTTGTCGGAAGTCATTAGCATCTATATCTCCTGCATCAGATCGTCCGTCTAACTCGTCTATGCAATAAAGTACGTGAATAATTGCCCTTCTGTAAAGTTTTAATTCAATTCGATTGATATTAAACACTTGATCACGGTTTGTACATGGTACCAATCTTTTATATTCATCTACTAAACTATCCGTTGCGCAATAAAGATGAAATTGTTTTCTTGGACATTGTAATTCTCTAAATCGGTAGATAAGATCGACCGCAGTATGTGGCACAAATATGTCTATTTCTTTAACTGTACTTTGATGACGCGTAAGTGTATCGATAAATTCATCTCGTGTGATGCAATGAATAAAAAAATCGCTGATGAAGAAAGTCTAGTTTACGAAAATCTTTGAGCGCGTCGTGCGGACCAAGAAAAATCAGTAGTGATTCATAACTCGCGTGAAACATTGTAATTAACTATCTACAAATCATTCATATTACATATAAGCGAAAATATTATTTGCTAGACAATTTATGAATGTGTGTGTTCGTTTCGTTAAATGAGTCTTATTTTCACACACGCACATAAAACCGAAAATAATAAGAATATTTCAATGAAGAAACAAGGCCTTTCGAAATGTTAATAATTAGTGTTTGATTATGGATCGATATTTGAACCTTGTCATTATTAAAACTACACAAAAATCATCGGTATCTATTGAAAACGTCGAACGAAAAACCAATCGAACGGAAAAAAGGTCGAATGATGAAAAATAAAAAAATATATATTTTATTTCATTGCAAAAAAGGAAAAAATAGTTCATTTGTTAAGGACAAATAGTTATAAAAAAAGGAATCATTCGAGACGTCCATATGTACGCGATTAATATAAAGTTTACGTTGTTTTCGCGCTGAGCAATGATAAGTTATTCAATAATTGCTCGATGTCGACGTGGTTGGTGCTGCAACGTGCCACAAGAATATTGATACGTTTTTTAAGATACCATTAGTAAAACGTGATACCCATAATGAACCCATTCATCAGATGCATTGTTAGTGAAGAAAGCCGATTTCAACACTTATATGTACAAATTAGTACAGGTGCTCAACGTCGACCAAGTTCAAGTTTTACTAATGGTACCCTAAAAAGCGTATCAATATTCTTGTGGCACGTTGCAGCAACAGCCATGTCGACATCGAGCAATTATTGAATAACTTATCATTGCTCAGCGCGAAAACAACGTAAACCTTATATTCATCGCGTACATATGGACGTCTCGGATGATTCCTTTTTTTATAACTATTTGCCCTTATCAAATGAACTTTTTTTTGCAATGAAATAAAATTTATATTTTATATTTTTCATCTAACCACATTTTTCATTAATTCGAAATTTGTCCTTCGACGTTTTTTCTTTCGCATTTTCAATGTAAATCAAATCATCGTGTCCAGTATAGAATATAAGTTTACAGAGGCAATTATAAGATAGAATATTATTGTTAAATGCTTATTATGAAATAGTAGAGCGCCGATGTCAACTAATCCTTCTGACGATAAAATTTTACATGATTTTGACTGTTTATTATTATGAATACGCTCAGGGTCACAACAATTTAATAGTTACTCAATAGGAAAACATTTCACTTAGCCACTTAACTATCTTTGATAATACTAGAAAGATTTTGAGGCACCCAATTTACTCCTATCTTCTTAGCAAAAAAATAGCATAGTGAAGATATATGTCAAAGTTCATAATAGATAAAACTAGTATCGAATAAGCACAGTATCATGTAACATAATGAGGTGTTGACATCTGCATGCTACATCGTTGCTAATCATCACTGTAGGTTTTACATTAAAATCAGTATTTCAGAAACAGCCTACTAATATTAAGGAATCGATAAGAACAATATTGCTGGATTTATATTACTTTATATTACTTACGACTCTGGGATAGTTTTCAAAGCATATACAGTATATATATATATGTATATATGTATATAGTCCGAATATGACAAACGACAGACTCAGTTTACTTTTTCTTAATAAAAGCAGATAAATTCTCGTTAAGTCTAATTGTTCGCTCGAAATATTTGCCAGCCAATTTTACGTCGTTATTATCCGTACAGATTTCTCCCATTTTCTCACATAGTGATGCTCGTTCAACTGTCCATTCCAGTACAAGTCTTTTAATGTCTGCATATATATGTCGAATTTTTGGAAAACTCTGGAAAAGATTCTGGTCGTTAATTGCAATTGGTATATTTTCCACTGGACTCAGAACATAAATATGATGAACCGTTGATAATGACGATAATCTGTCTACAATTGCCATTTGATTGCGCTTATTCGAAACTATGATAATAGGACAGCAGTATTTTATCATGTAGCTTTCTGCCTGTACTTGAGCCATAAATTTGTCGTCATTATCGAAGAGAGTTCCCTGTTCTTGAGTGAGACCATGCAGTGTGGAAACAAGTTGATTAGCCTCACTGTAGAATTCTTTTGAATAGTAAATAAAAATACTGCTGTTTAGACTTCTTTCCATTTCGACTCTTGAATATTGATTACTTTCAATTTCGAGCATTTCAGCTCTGATTTTTTTCTTCACATTGATATCTCCATTCCTTAAGATCCTCCAGAAATTTAAAATCCTGATATCTAGTAATACGCTGTGCATGGTGACACAGAACACTTGCCCAATTGAAGTAAATCAAAGCTTGATGAGTATCAGGTAAAATATTTCGATCAAGCAATTTTTTTCCATTTTCAGCATAGTACCTCGCTATATCATGTACTAGTCGCCACAAGAGATCCGTTTCATGACTAAATGCAAGTGCATAATCCATGCAATCAAATAGCCACTCCATAGAACTTATCAAATAAAAATTGAAAATATAAATCGAAATACTGGCTTCACCATTTTCGTTATGAAATGCTTGCGGATATTCTTCAATGATACGCGGTACAATATATTGTCCCATTGAATCCGATACAATCAAAAATATTCGTTTATCTCTAGTCATACTATCGCGAATGCATTGTAGACATTGATTAATATCAACAAACGTTTTTAGTTCACAGGGAATTCCGATTTGATGCGGGATTCTAGAGTCTAACTCATTCCATGCAGTATAATTACGGTCCTGTTTAGACAATTCTACAGGTTTTGGATTCGTTGGATCAATATTACTAGCGAATGCTGCCTTAAGATGAGCATGATAGTGAGGATCACCAATATGAGCGTCTAGCCATATAGTAACGATATCAGGAAACAATTGTTTCATTGTTCTCAACATTTTCCCTATTTATCTTGAAAAAAAAACATTTACCTCATATTTTATTGAATACAACACAAGTTAGTCTTATAACAATCTTGATAGTAACAAAAATATAAAATGAAACTCAATTAAAGTGTAGTTTATTACATTTTCTCCTTCTCTACTTCCTTGTGCTTTCTGTGAAAGGCGTTTTTGTTTTTATTTTCATGATAGGAGTAGTGTACTGCAGCCGGGTCGGGTAACCGGCACCCGACCCGACCCGGTACCTGGGTCCGGGTGAAAAGCTCCGGGTCGGGCCGGGTGCCGGATCTGGAAAAAAAAGTCGGGTCGGGCTGAGGAATTTTCAAAAAACCGACACCCGACCGGCCAACTAGTGATATCTAGAAGAAACATGAAATTTTCAGATATCATTGTCGATTTCAGTCATTTCAGTCATAGGAATGTGAATCTGATTGGGTTATTATTCACTAATATATTCAATAGTCACGACGGGTCACCTAACCTAACCCACAAACACGATTGTTCTACTTATATGTTAAAGAAACTTCGCTAAGTGTGCTAGCTGCTTTATATAACTGATCTATTACCGCCTCACATTTACATGAATCATCGTAAGTATCCATTCTCACATACTTCTACATGTTCATTAATTTTTACTTTTTATCCTAGCTCAGCTCTTCATCATCTCTTCTACCACAAAAACGTAGTTTTTAATGTTATATATTATTGATTGTAAGTATTCATTTCTCTATAATTTCTCATTTGAATTCACTTCTATTTTATCTTCTAGACCTTAGTTGAACAACAAAAACATTGTTTTTGATGTTATTTATTATTTTTATTGATCTTTTATTATCAATTATTTATTATCTATTATTTATTATCGATTATTTATCTCATTGAGATCATCTCACTAATAAACTATTAGCAAAATTTTGACCACAATCCGGTCGGGTGCCGGTCGGTTACCGGGTATAGTTGTCCGGGTCCGGTTCGGGTCCGGGCGTAAGGCCACCGGGTCCGGGCGGTTCCGGGTGTGGGAAAAATCAGTCGGGTCGGCTCCGGGTATGAAAAGTTGCACCCGTGCAGGACACTAGATAGGAGAGCTCACTATTGACGACGCAAGGAAGATTGACTCATTTTACACACACAAAAAACACGTAGCATTTATCTACTTTTTTTTGCGTGACACTTCCTAAATTATATTAGCTATCTTTTGTAGTGATTCATCGCAAAAAGTTACAAAAAATGATGCAAACAACAAATACAAAGTACATCTTTTCTCAGATAAATCATCGTTAGGTAGCCGGTCTGACTGAAAGTCCTGTTGCTTTTACTCAAATGAAACTGTAAATATTCTTCAAGCAATAAATCAGACTAATACCAGCGCCCACAATCCAAGCAGACAAACTTTTAGGAAAGCGCGTTTACACACTCAATCGGGAACCGCGATGGTGCGTCATTAACGCTCAGTAACGGAACGCAAGAAACGCTTTTTTTACGCGGAATTCTCACTTTCAGAGCGTGAAAACGGGTAAAAACTCCAATTCTGAGCGTTTAAACGCACAGTTATTCAATAACTTAAAAACTAATTCGTTTAAACGCTCAGAATTGGAGTTTTCACGCTCTGAAAGTGAGAATTCTGCGTAAAAAACGCGTTTCTTGCGTTTCGTTACTGAGCGTTAATGACTCACAATCGCGGTTCCCGATTGAGTGTGTAAACGCGTTTTTCCAAAAGTTTGTCTGTTTGGGAACTGTACAGTATAAAGAACAATAGATAATGAACACTTTTTATGAAGTTACAGATAATTCAAGCTGTATGTTTTAAAAGTTCAAGAATATCAAACACAGATACGGATTAAAAAGTATAGTGTTCATATTTCACCCGATCATATTGGATAACGACAAAATATGAGAGAGATCCATTGTGTTGAATGAATGTGTGTAATTTTGGTGATCATAAGGTTGAACACCTGCTTTTGTTGCCATAACAGGTGGAGCAAAGTGAGAATCAAAGCCTGATGTAGACAAACCAATTAAATCACTTAACTCCTCACGACAAGGACTTCTAGTATCATATATATAAGAATTTACTGAGAAACGATTATTAACAAAAGTATTGTTATGTGCACAAATATTTAGACTGTTGCAGATTGTAACCAGAGCTGCTGAACTATTTGTTGCTATGTAATTTCCTCTGATGTATACATTAGCTGCGTTGATACTTTGAAGCAAGCCTTCAGTATAAGGTCCAAATAGAAATGTTGATGATTGTATAATAACATCGTAGAATATTCGATTCAGTTGAGGTGGAAATGGAGCAAAAGAAATCACTCCACCTTGTCGTGCTATGCCTTCATTACAATTGATATAGACATTCTGAAGGAGTTTTACATCTTGTGCTGCAACACTTTCATGCCAATCCAAGGATGGCTCAAATAGCACTGCTGGTCCACTGGTTCCAATAAATAATGAATTTGTTATTTGAACACGTCGTGTTTTTAAAAGGACACCACGTGCTCGATTATTTGCAACAGTCAAATTCCTGACAGTTAATACGGGGGTATCGGCAACTGAAACCCAATCTCCAACATTCGCAAAAATAGGGCCAGTGAATACGAATACTCTGGCATTGGGACCCTGAATTGATGTCGAAACGACAGTTGCTGCTGTATAGACTGTGAACGGTTGTTGACTACTGCTAAACTCCATACGTGTGCCAGCTCCAACGTTCAAAACATCAGGCCAATTATATTCTCGAAGAATCAATGATGTAGAACTGATGATTTGTGTTACTTGTAAATAAAATGCGTGTACATTTAATCCATCGTCACCTTGTGCTACACATTTACTATCAGTTATGTTAATATAATTTCGACAGTCTGAAAAATGCATACAATCTACGGGTGTACTCATCCACCGTCCAGACCGTGGCATAACATGATAATTATTTATATTTAAACCCTTCGCTCGCATTGCAACTAAACCCATAAGCCAAGACGTATAGATTGTTACATAATGAATATTCAAATCTGTAACATCTTGTGCATCAATAGCGTGTCTATTATGACTATAGCGTGCCACAATAGGATCTCCAATAACAAATTTTGTAGGATTTTTCAATGGAATACGTAATATATCATTTGACACTAAACTTGTGTTTCGATCCGAAGGTGGATCCTGATATATTTCATATGTATCTGGGCCAAATGCTGGTCTCATCATCGTTGGATTATATCGAAGAATGGCGCTCACTTTTCGATCAATATCAGCTTTGTGCGGTGATACAATTTGAACATCGAGATAAGTCGGATTCACACTCACCACATAGCCAGCAGTAAATGGAAGTGGATCAAAATCGATGGACAATGCAGTGATTGTCAATTCTCGACAATTTAAAGGTTGGAACATTGCCGCTGGCGCGTTTCCAAGTAAAAGTGTTTGTTGCATTCCTTGACCCATGACTGTTAATTTGTGAGCGTTGTATATCCCAATAACTGATTTGAAATTATACGTACCAGCTTGAAACAGAACAATATTATTTTGTCCGGCTTCAATAGCCTTATTAATAGCTAATTTCACTGCATCTGTATCATCGATATTATCATTGGGATAAGCACCATATGTGACGATAGAAAATATTGCTCCTAACATGTAAGAGCATTGAATAGATATCGTCATTAGGATGAACCATTTAGAAGCGAATTTCATCTTGTAGATCACGGAAAAAATGACCGTGCTACTGAAAGATAAAATTAGATGTGTCAATTATCTAGAGTAAAGAGCATTCAGATTGTCGAATTAGTAGGGTGATATTTATTTATTCGTTTTTGTGACTGATCTTCGCAATGGTACATGGAATGTGTCACAAATCAACTAAATTAGTTGATCATTTTAAACTTTAATATTGCAGCTCTTTCTCTCTCTATTATGTTACAAGTCGCGCGTCTCTCTCTCAAGTAGTAAGAAAAAATTAGTATCTCACAATTTAAATATATCAGCAGTCCACTCAATAATTTTATACTGATATCAAGCATGAGAGTGTATCAATATTTATTTCGGATTGATATGCGAGCCCCTCGAGTATAGGCTTACAATGCCACAAACTTTAATCTTATTAAACTAATAATTATCATTTTTTTTCTAATATGAAATAAGCAGCTAGATTTGTTTTCAAAACAAAATAAAGAGAAAATTCAAGTAATTCGATCTTACTTCGTAATGTATGATATTTCATCTATCCATTTTCTTTTTCTCACATTTCATTTAATCGTCATTTACTTTCATCTTCTCTTGTTTCACTTTGTCCACTTGTATCTTTTTCAACTACTTTATAAACGTAGTATGTAAAGTGAAGATTCAATACGCACGAAGAATCGAGCATTGACGTGAATATCAACAGGAATTGTCATTTCAATTCGAAAAAGACTTAGTATACATCGTTGTCTGCTCACCATTGTTGTGGTGGAGTAGCGAGGTGAGAGACAATATAAAATTAGCACATACTCCAATAATGATATTAACATTATCAAGAATGAAACTTTCCTCCTCAGTGCACAGTATTATGAAATTGAGAAAAATGTATTCATTCATGTCTATGTTGATGAGCAGAGTACAATATGCAATTGAAATTCTAAAAATAAGATTATAAGGTTACTATATTCATATTCTAACTTTAAGCATAAAGTTAACATCCTATTCAAGTTTTTCTTACCTCCATCTGTTTTGTTTCCAGCTGTGTTGACTCTCTAACTGGTCGAGCTATCTAAAATATTTTAAAAATAGATCATCGATCATATATTATCTTGTGAGTGCAAGTCTGGATTTCGGTGAGATTCCACTCGGTGGAGCGACATCTAGATTGCAGAAAAACTTATTCTTGAAAAGAAATTCTGATAGAAATAGATTAAAGATGATATATATGCAGCTATATATTTCCTTTTTAGAAAAAACTTATTGAAACATAGCATAATGTTACAATATAGAGATAATATAGCAAAAGTGGATAATATTTAAAAAGAAAACAATTAAAACATAAGATGTCAGTAATATTAATTCTCTTATATACAGTTGATCATAAGAATTTAATATAATAATAAATATTTATCTGTGATCTATTGTACACACTATCAAGAAAACTTTTCAAAATCGATTTCACTCCAATGCCATTTATTTAACTCTTATTTGATTGAATCAAAAACGAAAGTCCTGAATCATCGAAACAAACAAGTATCCAAACTAACTTATTCTTTCTTTCTTTCTTTCTTTCTTTCTTTCATTCTTTCATTCTTTCTTTCTGTCTTTCTTTCTTTCACTATTTATTACATTCCAAGAATTGTTTTCTCCAACAATTGACTTATTATTATTTAAAGATGAAGTTCTGTGGTTGTTTGACTATTCGACGTGATTCACGAGATGATCCTACAAACAAACGTGTTCAGCGACATTTTCTTAAACGTGGTATGTGTGCATTCTTAAATTTTCCATGAATGTACAGCATATTATTTACCATAGATTTACCAGCATCTAACGATAGTTCCACAAAAAATACAAAGTAAGCATCGATGAGCTACTCGTAGAATAATGTTTGTAAAATTTTTATGTTTAAGAATACAAAAAGATCGAACCAAATCAAATACACAATCGAGCACTCGACAAAAGTTCGTAGTTTAATATCCAATAAAGACAAGGGGGGAAACGACGGACTTTTGGACTTGACGTTACTTTGAGCTATTTTAAGCTACTTCCAGTTACTTTCAGCTATTTGAAGTAGCTTACTTTGAAGTACTTTTCAACTTCAAATTTTCCTGAAGTTACTTGAGGTTATTTTAAGCTACTTATTCCTACTTTGTGCTACTTGGATGGTACTCTGAGCTACTTCAAGGCCGCCATTTCCCCCTTGAATAAAGATCAAAATCACTTATTAAAAAGGAAATACAGTCAATTTTTTCTTCATATCATTGATTATTCGAGAAATACTGTGATTTAATTGATAGACTTTAGTTAAATTGGAAAATTTTTCCAAATCAAACTTAAAAATGAATATTTTGAAAAAATCAAAACCGCTATCAAAGTATTGATGCAGTCATAAGACGAATCCAGAGAGACTTCATTTTTCTCCTGACGAAACTATTAGTCATTGATTAACATTTCAATTTTTGTTGTTGATAATAGCATTCTAAAAAAGCAATCATCATCAGGATCAATTAATAAAGTTGTTTTACGTGATAATCATCATAATGTATCGAAACGAAGATCAGTGTAAATAGCAAAAACCGTTATAATTTCTGTAACTTGATGTAACCCGTTCTATTGTCTTTAGTACATTTGCGAATGATAGTGAAACTGAACAACGTAAATTTCTTCGATTAAATAAGACAAAACGAGGGTAAGATATAAAATAGAAAGCGGAAACTGGTCGATACCAATAATACTGTAGGGCATTCAAATAATAGAACAAAATATTTACATGAATATAAAATTAAATGTTGTTTTTTTCGATAGTAGAAAAATAACTAATCATGAATATCGCATACTTTTGTTTTAATACATATTACTTCGTTATCTAATGACTTAGACAAATACTATGTTAAGATTATTTTCATCAAAATAATTTTTGATATAATAAAATTGAAGCTTTTTCAATAGCAGAATATGAGTCATGATTTTTCTGTTTATCTGATTACAAGTTTTCGTTGAACTTATTTAATCGCCTCACTGGATTAAAAACAAAATTATTTTCCTATCCATTGAGTATTATTCGTATCGACCAATTTTCGTAGACTTGACGTTGAAATAAATTCACTAATACTTTCTATGCATGATATTTATGTAACAGATCAATTCATGAATTACAATTAAGTGAAAATAAACGTGCACGGTAAGATAAATAAGTAACATAAAAAGCATTTAATTTTAAATATCGTTTAAATCTATGCGTAGAAGTTCATCAAATGTAAATCATTCTATAACAAGAACAATCAATACATCGTATGAAACAACAACATGTGATGAACTTGATAATTCACAAGAGAAGAAAGCAGTTGTTCGTCGTCGAAAGTGAGTTTAGTATTATTGTTGAAATAATAAATTTATGTTGTTTTTTTCCTGTTAGACGAAGTAAATCTCCTCGAAAACAATTACCAACTGAAATTCTCGATGCGATTAAGTAGATAGCTATAAAAATCTCTTCGAATAAATCAACAACTAACCAATGTTTATTTTCAATAGATTTGATCTCGTAGAATCTGTTGGTTTAGATGACAATCAACTCAAAACGATTCCTTATGAAAATATCAAGTACGATCGAATTAAATAAATTGTTTTTCATTGAATTTTCTTTTTTGAAGAACATCTTCGCAGTCTATTCGTATTAGTCTATCATCATTTTCATCTCAACAACACCAAGGACGACGAAGACGTTCTTCTCCATTCAATCGATCAAGGTAAAAAAAGATTTCTTCGTTTTTCCAACGTCAAATTATACATCTAAATTGTAGCAATGTAGTCTATAGTGCATCAACTAATATGTTATATTATCAAGCTCAACCAACTGTGATTTCTATTGCTCAAGTCAAATCAACAGTAAACATTTTCTGATATATATTCTATTTGATATGATTTTGTTTTGTTTCGGTAGAAAGATATTAGTATATCGCAAAAATTAGAAAATTGTATGTATAAAAATATTTTTATCTATTAGATTATTTTTGTTTTTCATTCAGAGATTTACAATATCGAAAGAGTTGATCCAATTGTTTTGCTATGAGACTCTTTCAATAGATCAATTCAGATCTTGTTTTTTTTTGTTTTGTGCAGATATTCGTTGTCAATGCTTACTTTGTTTTTCTTTTCGCCTTGATTATTATTATTATTATTATTATTGTATTTAGATTTTTCTTTCGTTGTATGATATTTATCTCTTTTGTTTGTTTGTTTGTTTGTCAAATAAATTAAATTATTCACTAACGTCGGATTTATATTCATCTGCAAATATAATTTAGAAATATTTATCACAGATTACGAGTTTTTTTTATTCAATTATTATTTGATTGTGATAGCTGCATGTGTTCATATAATATATTGAAGAACTATTGGTGTGCCGATTTATTCAACAGGCAATATCTATAGATAGTGTAATAGTAGGTATAGGAAACCAGCTGCATTCTTCTCTTACAATCATTTAATGTAAGCATTATGTTTAAAAAAATATGTGGACGATGCCATCATCTTTGTGTACACTCTTCCTTTTTTCTTTCTTTTCTTTATATGTTCTACGTACAAGTTGATTAGCATATCATAGAATTTCAACAACAAATCAGTAGCCTAGAAATGATCAATCGAAGAGGTTTTTTTCTTTTCAAGTTGGTCTCGCATATGTATTATATCATATTACACATTTCCAATCACTTAACACATTTATTTGTCTTGTATAATTAGTTTTGATAATCAATCACACTGAAGATCGCACCCGTGATTGACCAGTTTTATTATGATCAAACATTGTTTAAATGTTCATCTCTCTCTCTGATGTATTTATCAAAATCATCAGTCATTGTTCTGGATAGATTCGATTAAAGCGCATTGGAATCATTGATCTGAGAACAAACTATTGGCAAATATTGAACAACGATGATAATATAATTATTTGTATTCTCGCATTAAATTAAAGACGTCAGTAGTCTGCATTCTGAGGTACAGGAAGGAAGGAACGAACGAACGAAATGAACAGTTGTCATTCTTGTTGAACTCATCGTCGCCTCTTACATTCATACAACTATGAAATTATGAGATGAAGACAATGAAGTGACTTGACCAATACGGTATGCATGAATACAAATGATTGTTACGCACGATAGTACAATACTAAAGAAGAACTATATTGCCATAAGAATAGTCAAATTTCTCATCATCGCCTTCCAGTACACATGTACACTTGAAATCTGGAATGCGACATACTTTTTATTAATGCAATATATATTATATTTCTTTTTTTTTTCTCCCTCTCTTTTCTTCTTCTTGGTACAGTTAGATGATAAGATGTGTAATTAATTATTTTCTAAACGGCGAACCATATAACAGACATCCTCTTGATGAATGGATTGGTGGTATTTACTGATAAGTATATTTTTCGCCTCAGTTACAGCTAATATTGGCCATGTTCGAACACTTGATGTTCAAGAAAACGAACGTGTTCGACTTGAATGTAAATTAACATCGACCAAAGATGCTGAAGAAGTTAGTATGAAATATTGATTTGTAGAAATGAATCTATTTGAAAAGTATGCTTTTGTTTTAGGTTCTGTGGATGCGCATTAGATCACCACATAATCCTGATATATTGTCATATCGAGACAGCGTTGTCTACGCACCAGATCGTATAGAACTTGAACAACGTCGTTATAGTTCAAGTAGAACTATAAATGGAACGTTGATTGAAACATATATCTTAACATTAATTATTTTACGGCCAACTATTGATGATCAAGGCAGATATATTTGCGCAAAAGGCCGAACTGTTTTTGCTGAATATGACATTTTCATTATTGGTAAATAATGCAGAAGAAAAAAACGGCTTATCTAAATAAATCCTCTTATTTGAATTATAGTCCCAACTCAATTTATGGATGATACTAATTTTACACAACAGCGAAGCGTTCTTGAAGGTTCAACTCTTCGTCTTTCTTGTTCTGCATATGGTCGACCGCTACCATCAATAACTTGGTTTTATCGAACCCATAATGGTAAACTGATTTCATGTAAGTAGAAAATCGAATGTAAACATTTATTAAAAAAAAAATTATTTTAATCTTAACAGTAAGCAATGGCACTGTTTGCCAAGCGACAAAATGTGAACTTCATTTGGTAAATTATACAAGGTATGATCCGAAAATAATCGAGTGTATTGCTGACAATGAAAAATCGACTCGAATATCAAAAGTAGTTCATATTGA